GCCAACCCGAGTTCGATTCCTCCGCCCCTCTCGGAGAGCCCGGCAAGCTACCGAGAGTATTTGATATGCCAGACACAGTAACAACAAAGTCTCCAATGGAGACATTACTGGGCCCGCTTGAGCAAATCGACGATCAACGGGAGGGCCTTTACCTTTTACCACTACCCAAGACTGCCCCAAAGGCAATTGTTAAATAATTTATTTTGTGTTGCTTGCTATGAATAATTGACTAAAAATGATCCAAAAAGTTTTCCTTAGAAGAAAGTGTGTGAAAATTGTTGTATCTCATCTTGGAACCATTAAATCCCATTAACATATTGTTAGAGTTTGATTCTTGTGTGCTTATATGTCACTGTCACTGTCACTGTCCTCCTGTTGTTCATCGATTTGCTCGAGCGGGCCCAGTAGCGTCTCCATTGGAGACTTAGTTGTTACTGTGTTTGGCATATCGAATACATCACGGGTAGCTTGCCAGGCTCTGCCGTGCGGGCACGATACTCTTGGTAGCTTGCTGGGCTCTCCGAGAGGGGCGGAGGAATTGAACTCGGTCGGCCATGTTGGCTGCGTGCAAGGCAAACGCCCTACCGCTGTGCTATCGCTCCAGCCCCATATATATATATATATATATACACATATATAAAAATATATATATACATTTATATACATACATATATAACGGGTCTCATTCCCCTGACCCTGAAAGAGCCTCTAATATGGCACCATCGGGAAGGAGGAGTAAGGAGAGACTGCTAAAATCTCAGGGTTGGGATGAATGGAGACGTTACTGGCAAATTGACGAACAACAGATGACAACGATACAGTGATACAGTGATACACACACACATACACACACACACACATACACACACATATATTATATATTATCAATATTGGTTGTCTTCTATTTTACACCCCATCAAATGTGAATGCTACTCTTGGTATATCAGTGGCGTAATTATATGAGATGTTGCGTGCGGCAGCCGCGTGCTGCTGGAATTCTAAAATTTTTTCATAGGGTGCTAGAACTGGAAGTTCATACCTTTTTGATCACCCTCACCCAACTTTTACCCCCTACTACCCACAAATCCTATCTATTTTTCTTTTAGGTTGTTGGTTTTTTAATTATAGAAGGGCCAGAAAGGTAGTACAGAGTATCAGGATCTTTCCTTACCCACCAGTGTTGAGTTTTATCCCCAACACTACAGAAAGTCACCTGAGCACCACCAGAACAGATCGCTGAGCACAAAACCAGGAGCAAGCATTAAGCACCACCGAACGTATCTTAAAAAAAAATCTTGATTGTGGATCCCATCTCTAAGTGAGCTCATGCAGTCTTTGTCTGATTTCACTTAACATAATGTTCTCAAAGGTCCTGTCCTCTTAAAATTAATGACATTTCCCCACACAGCAGGTAGGGTGTTCGCCTTACAAGCGGCCAACATGGCCGACCCGAGTTCGATTCCTCCGCCCCTCTCGGAGAGCCCGGCAAGCTACCGAGAGTATTCGATATGCCAGACTCAGTAACAACAGTCTCCAATGGAGACGTTACTGGGCCCGCTCGAGCAAATCGACGATCAACGGGAGGGCCTTTACCTTTACCTTTTACCTCACTTTTGATTCTGCTCTTTTCTTTTGTTGTTTTTATTGCTGAGATGAAATGAGATTGCATACTTATTTGTGGTACTCAAACACAGTTACATTCCAGTGCTCATCAGGGGGTATGTAATTCTTACGATATGGTGCTTGCACACATATCGTGCTTGCTGTGTGTTGGAGGTCACACACTTTATTGTGGTGCCAGGGATACAAATAATAATGAAGAGCTAAGCTAGAATCTGACTGGGAACAGGGTGTTTTATGCAGATAAATTTATGGCCTGGTGCCTGCTAAGCTGAAACTCTACCAATTGGGCTATCTCCAGGCCTCTTCTCATTTTTATAGCTGAAAACATTATATAGTTTATACCCCAACATCCATATAAGTTTTAGTAAAGTTTGCTCTGTATCTGGGCTGGGGCGATAGCATAGCGGACAGGGCGTTTTCCTTGCATGCAGCCCACGCGGCCCACCTGTGCCCTCTGCCCCTCTCAGAGAGCCCGGCAAGATACAGAGAGTACCTTGCCCACAGGCAAAGCCTGGCAAGCTCCCCATGACATATTCGATATGCCAAACACAGTAACAACCAGTTTCACTATGGAGATTATACTGGGCCTGCTGGAGTAAATCGATGAACAACAGGACAGTGCTACAGTGCTCTGTATCTGTAAAGAATGTCATCAGAATTTTGATGGGGATTGCATAAAATCTGTATAATATTTTAGATAGGATGATCATTCTGACAATGCTAATTCTTCCAATTTATGAATTTGGGATGTTTTTCTATTTCTTTTCTCCTCCTCATCTCCTCCTCGTCCTCCTCCTCCCCCCTTCTCCTCCTTTTTCTTTTTCCTCCTCCTTCTCATTCTCCTCCATTTTTTTTTAATTTGAATCACCATGGGATACACAGTTGCTCATGATTGGGTTTAAGTCATACAATGATCTAACATTCCTCCCTTGATTAGTGTATATTTGTCACTACTAATGTCCCCATTTTCCCTCCTGCCAAACCCCCACCCCCATCTCCTGGGCCTGGCCTGCCTCATAAACATGTTGAGCTTTGTCTGTAGAGATATTTCACGTATTGATTAATTCTAATTATTTTATAAGTTTTGATAATACTCTAATTGTTATAATTTCATTTAATTCTTTTTAAGATTTAATTTTTGTGTATGAAAAGAATGATTTTTACATGTTGAAGTAGATTTTTTGATTACATATACTAATACTTGGTGAAGTTTTTAGGGTTTGGGTATATAAAATAGCATAATCTAAAGATACATAGAATTCTACTTTTGCTTTCGCATTCTTTTGCTTTCTTTTCTTTTCCCTTGCCTGGTTGGTCTGGCTAAGATTTTCAGTACAATGTTAAATAAGAGTGAGGAAGTGGGGATACTTTTTAAATGTTGATCTTAGAGGAAGTGATTATAGGTTTTACCACTCAGCACGGTAATAGCTGTGGGTCAACATAAACGGCCTTTATTATGTTGAGTATATGCCTTTTGTACCTATTTTGTTAACTTTCAATGCTAAGTTTTTGTTAATTATTTTCTGCATTTTGATTTTTCCCATTAATTTTGTCAGCAAGAATAGACTTGATCAGAGAGTATGCTTCATATGATTTCAAATTTTTTTTGAATTTGCTAACTTGATGTCTAGTGTATGGTTTATTCTAGGAAATGTCCGTGTGCACTTGAAAAGAACCATATTTCACCACATTTTTATGGCAGATTTTATGACCTCTTTTTTAAAAAAAAATTGGGTGTGATCATTATGTGAAACATTTAAAAGCACTGTGCCTCTGACACTATAAAGGGGTAAAAATATACGAAGTAGTGAAAATTATGCAGTGAAATATGGCATTCATATTCTGCTTTGAAGAACATTGAAATTCTCTATAGGTCTTTACAATAAGTTGGTCTGCAATGTTTTTCAAATCATCCATTCATTAATTTTCTATAGGATTATCAGATCATAATTATCCACTGTTGAGACTGAAATATTAATGTTCTTAACTTTTGTACTGCTCTTTATTTTTATGTAATCATTTTCCCTTTTGTCTCTTAGTTTTTGCTTTTCATATTGAAGTGTTTTCATATTAGGAGCATAAATACTAACAAGTTCTGTATCTTCTTAATGACATAATCTCCTTACCATTATATAGGGATCTCTTACCATATTTAATTTAAAGTAGATTTTATTTATTGTGAGTAAATTATAAATTAATATTGGATTGAAATATCTTATTGTATCCCTTTGTTTTCAGTCTGTACATACATTTAAGGAAAAACGAGGATCTCTTAAGCATCACTCATTTAATTTTGTTTATATCTACTCAGCCATTCTATGTATTTTATAGTCATTGGTAAGATAAGGGCTAACTATTGCAATTCTGTTCATTGTTTTCTGATTGCTTTGCATATCTATAAATTCTTTTTGAAGATTCTTGTTTCTATTCTATTTTTTCATTTTGTGTGTTTTGGTATCTTTTGCTATTAGTATGTTTTGACATCTTTACCATTTTCTTGTGTAATTACGGTAAGTTTTTTCTTTATGGCTAAGTGAAACTTAAATATACTATAATACCCAATTTCAAACTCATACCAATTTTACTAAAGCTAAAATAAATAGCTACTGAAAATTTTAAATGTCTAAGCCAAGATTCTGTATGAAAATTTCTAAACAGAAATTAATTGGGAAACTTTAGAAGAACTTAATACTGAAGGATTTGCAGACAAATCAGAAGAAGGCTACATGTCCATTGAACTGTCCTGTGGCCATGGAAAAAAATTAGTCTACAGCAAATTAGTCTAAATAAAATCATTATTAGTCTAAAAAAGCTAGAATAATTAATGGAGAGGAATGAATGTCACAAAAACTACCAAAACCTAAAAAAAAAAAATACTTGAGGCAAATGAGTAGTGTTTGCTTTCAATACAGTATGGGACAAGTTCCCTTAAGGATTATCTAAGGGAATCTATGAAATTAATCTCACTGTATACTCATTAAAAGCTGAAAATTTAGTGACTACTTATAGATTGTTAAGTACACATGTAAACATATCTTCCAAGTGGAACAAATAATCTAAACTATTTTATCTCGGAGAGCCCGGCAAGCTACCGAGAGTATTCGATATGCCAGACACAGTAACAACAAAGTCTCCAATGGAGACGTTACTGGGCCCGCTCGAGCAAATCGACGATCAACGGGAGGGCCTTTACCTTTACCTTTACCTATTTTATGGCACAATTTACGTTATTCAACTTTATACCTAACCCATCATTCTTATCTGAACAGTTTCTTGTTAAAATGTCTATAATTATTCTAGCCATCTAGATGTTCTTTGAGCCATTTATTACATAATGCTGATTTTTGGGTCATTAAAAATGCTTGAATAGGTAATAGCATCAGTCACTTTATTATTATTTAAAATTGTGTTTTATTATTTGATTGAAAATATAATTTTATACAATATAAATACATATATTCCTTTCAAAAGTTGACTATATTTCACAAATAATTTGTCAAGATAAGAGATTACCATCAGTAAAATCCACCTATGAGACCAGTATGAATAATAAATTGTTCCATAGAAAAAGTGTTATTTTACTTTATGAACTCTGACAAATGCATTACCTCTTATTTTAAATGCTTGAATAAAAAATTACTTAATTATGTAATATTCATCCACTAATTACCTAATGAGAGAAAATTTGGACCAAGTGTCATTTATGGGTATTGATGATGAAAGACTTTTGTGTGGCTTATATATTAACAAGCTTTGAGTAATCCAGTATCATTTACTGAAAGTGACAAGTTTAGTTTTGTTAAATGAGTACATATTACATGTTGGCTCTGTTGGCTCAGATTTTTTCAGATAAAACTTTGCTCTATAATAATTAAATTCAAATAGAAACTTTGCCTTTTTCACCTTGAATTTTTCTTACTTTGTTTTCCATTATGTCTGATTCTTAGCTTTTGTAAAAAAAGGACTTGCAAAAAATTAGTAAAACTTGTAAAGATATTTCTCATATTATTGCCGTTTTATAACTTTGTATTTTTATATTATTAAAATTAAGAAGAAATATCTGAAGCAAAATTTCTACTTTGTATTTAATACAAATCAAACATTCAGTGAGGGCATTATGGTGGTTCTCTAAAATTAAAATTTCACCTATAATGTTTCTGATTATATAGATTTCTAAGTTTTTTTTAAAAAAAGTTAATGGAGACTATATACATAATAAAGTAAAAGTATATTAGATTGTACATGGCATGAATAACTATTAGAAAAAATTATTGTAAATATTGCACACACAGTTTATTCCAAATTCCTATCCTTTTTTCATGCTTTTTCCTCTAAGTCCTTTTTCTAAGTACTTTTTCCTCTAAGTCCTTAATCTTCCTTGTTAGAGAAGTTCATCTGATGAGAGTTTGCATTTTCAAGCACTTATTTCTTTAGTTCCTAAATAGTAAAAGAAAACAAAGAAAAATTAAGACATCTCTCTAATCTACTAAAGGGAAAGAATTAATATTTTAATTATAACTATTTGAATATCATGAATATTAATGACAAGGTTGTTCTTAGCAACATTTAAAAACGTTATGACCTTAAAATAAGTTTAGAAATAGTTTAGAAATATTGTGGTAATATATGACCACTGGGTATATAACATAAAGTAAAAATTGTATGATCTGCTTTTTATATATGACAAATTTCTAGTTTCACATTTAAATTGTCCACCTCAGGTACCAATTATACTTTACTTACAAAGTATAATTTTTTATCTACAAAGATAATCTAAAAAACATTGCTAAAACTATAATTTTTAAGTAGTTAAAACTACTAAGAAGACACAAGGGTGTTTTTAATTATGGTGAGAACAGGCTCAACAAACAAACTTATGCAGACAATAGATGTTGCTTTCTCTATGCCGACATTAGAATTTTACTGTTTATACTTTACCAGAAGCACAAGGAACAGTATACTCCTTAATGGTGATTTCATCTGAAACACAAATGGGTGACCAAGAGTAAGAAAGTCTGTAGTGGGTCATGCATAGTTATTTGTAAATAAGCTATGTTAATTAAGAACGTATGAATCACATTTATGGAGTCAGTAAAAAAAAATGCTTCTTTATTAACCCTTCATCTTTAATGTAGGGAAATCAGAGAAAATTGTACCTTGATTCAGAACCACTGGAAAATTTTGTGACACAGTATAATTTTTCTTTCATAATTATATTTTATCATTTGAATTTTACCTTTCCATATAAACTTCCCTGAATCTAAAAACTTTAACACTACTATAATGCTGTGTTTTTATGTCAAAGTGGAAGAAATTCTTGATATATTAGAACACTTTTTAGATTTTTGTGACACAAATCAAGACAGAAGTCAAATGTGAGCCATTCACAATGTGAAGTGTTTATTCCTATATTTCTGGAATCATTCAGTCTTGAACAAGCATTGTTCGATGAATTTAGACTAAGGTGGTCACCTTAATGCTTCATAATGAATTTATTAAAAAATCTGTTTAAGCTTATTTGGGGCATATGAGAGGTTAATATACAACCATAAATTCACTTTTTTCTTGCTGTAAGAGAATGTAGATGTAGAATTTTTTTATTGAGGTAAATATTGGCTTATAATATTTGGTAGTTTTCAATTGTTATTATATATCAGTATCTGTATATACTTCAACAAGAACACAACTTAAGCTGTTTTCCTCCTTTTAAGCATTTAAAAATGGGGGGTGCTTTACCCAGAAGTGTTCAGGGCTTAATCCTGGCTCTGTATCAAGGAACCACTCCTGGCAGGGCTCAGGGAATCATACGGGTTGCCAATGACAGAGGCTTGGTCAGCTGTGTGCATGGCAAGCGCCCTACCCACTATACTATTGCTCAGGACTATTTTGAATGATTTTGACCCATTTTACCCACCCCAATTCCCTTTCCACTGTGATAATAGTCTTGTAGTTCTAAACATTATTTTTCTTTCATTTGGTTCATTTTATTTCCATCCCTCCTTTTATCCCTTCCTCTCTTTCTCTCTCATTCCCTCTCCCTATCTCTCTTTTCTTCTCACTCTTCCTTTCTCCCTTCCTCCCTCCCTTCCTTCCTCCCTCCCTCCCTCCCTCCCTCCCTCCCTCCCTCCCTCCCTCCCTCCCTCCCTCCCTTCCTTCCTTCCTTCCTTCCTTCCTTCCTTCCTTCCTTCCTTCCTTCCTCCATTTCTTTCTCTTTCTCCCTCCGTTTCTTCCTTCATTCCTTCTTCTTTCTGTCTTTAACTTTGTTTATCTCTGTGTGCTCAGAGCTCTGTAAGACTTTGAGCTTAGGGATTACTCCTGGCATTCTTTGGGGACCATGTATGGTGCTGGGGATCAAACCCATGTCTACCACATGCAAGGAAGTGCCCTACCTGTGGTACTATCTCTTGGCTTCATTTGCTTTGTTCTGGAGCGATAGCACAGTGGGTAGGGCGTTCGCCTTACAAGCGGCCAACATGGCCGACCCGAGTTCAATTCCTCCGCCCCTCTCGGCCCAGCAAGCTACCGAGAGTATTTGATATGCCAAACACAGTAACAACAAAGTCTCCAATGGAGATGTTACTGGGCCCGCTCTAGCAAATTGACGATCAACGGGAGGGCCTTTACCTTTACCTTACCTTACCTTTTGTTATACCACAAATCAGTGAAATCATACGATGTTTGTCTTTATCTGACTTATTTCACTAAACATTACCCTCTGACAGTTGGATTTTGTCTTTTTTGTTGTAATATATACAGTTGAGTATTATGTGTACATATGTCATGTTTCTTATCTCAAATTGTGGACTTTTGTTTTAATTAGGTGAATATTAAGTTAATAATTTTATTTCTTTCTAAAACCTGCCATACCTGACTATCACTCACCTGTCTCATAATAATCATAGGCTTTTACAGTAGCTGGCTTCAAGTTCTCTACTTGAATATCTTGTTCCACTGAGAAGGAGAAATTCACGACTTCACTGGTTAACTGGAGAGAGAGGAAAATTAAATTGGAATCAAAAGTTTGCTTAGTTATTAGTTATCCTCCTATCTTAGCAAGGCATTATTAAATCCTTTGGTTTGCCAAATCCTATGAAAAGAATAGGACGTGTTGAAACTACATAACATACTCAAGGACAGATAAAGAAAAGGCAAAAGGGAGATTTTATGGACAGCCACATAGTCAAGTGAACCCTGTTAGTAGTCCCGGCTTCATTTTGTTCTGTGACTGTTTTCTTCACCCTCTTCTTTATATGTGAAACAACAGCCTTTATTTGTAAACTGAATTGTTTTTAAACTGTAGGAAAACTCTAGGAGTTCTTGCAGCAGTATCATAGTCACTGAGGAGAATCTTACCTTTTCAAAATAAATCAGGACATGGTTGGTGTTCACTTCAGTTCTTTGAATTTGAGGCATTTCTTGCAGCTGTTGACCAAGATTTTAATTATGTTATGTATATATTTTATAATAATAATACTATCTCTTTGTAAATAGAGGTAACGTAGTCTCTGTTAAATCCTTATTATCTAACAAGCCGCCTACCCATTGTAGTAGCGCCCTGGCCCCTGTGATTTACCTTTTTCACCGATGCTTTCACAGGTATGAATCCTGATACCATCTTCACATCAACAATGACCATGTTGGAGCTGGGCTGTTTCCCAGTGTAGCTATGAAGTCAATGCATAAGACAATACATTCAAACAAAACCACTTATAGTTCCTTTAATATGGGAATCATCTCTTTCTCTTGGGGAGTGTGGGAGGGCATATTCAGTGATACAGGGCTCACTTCTATCTGTGCTTAGGGGATCATATGGGGTACTGGGGATTGAAATTGGGTATGACATATGCAAGGCAAGTGTCCTTTGCCACTCTATTCTCTCTCCTGCTCCAAGACATCTCTTTCATTTTTAGTGCTCCGTATTTTAACTACCACTCAGCTTCTCCATCTACTCTTGCTTCTGCCATGACCATTTGTGAAATTTATTATTATGAGTCTGTAAGTACGGTAGTAGCACATTCTCAATGTCAATGCTTTTTACTAAGAATGAACGAACATTTCTTGTCAAATACTTCAAGAACCTTGTAATCAATTTTATATAGCACTGGACAATGAAGTTCCTTGCACAAAGATCAATTTTACCAAAACCTATAAAAGATCATATAGTAGTTGGGATTTACCTAATGTTAATGTGAATCTGAATTTTCTTGTGGGCATTTATTCCATCACAATTCTTAGGGACTGTATCAACCATGAGAGTGAAGGGACCATTTCCTTCTTTCTTAGGCACGATGTTATATCTCAGTGTTCTCTGAAACAAACGGAAATAGTAATTTATCTTTCACCCGCACAGTTGGTCCTTTCAAGATGATTCATAATTTCCCTTAGCACAAACATTGTTTTTTTCTATTGCATTCCAATTATGAGTTTTGAGACATTCTCTCACATTTGCAGCATTGCTAAGCCCCAGCAGTCTCACCTGGAGGTACACGCATCCTGTCCCCGATACCACTGTTGTGTATTCCCCTGGAATCTCTGGCAACCGGATCTGCTGCAGCAAAAGGCGGTTGGCTTTGTTTACTTGGAATTTTTCAGAGAAAGACCTGGAATTCTTGACCATCACGGTAACATCTTTCTCCCCAGTAGCATAAACTGCTGCCCCATATTTGGAAAGGGCTTGAAGAGCTACCACAGTATCCTGAAAAAAAAAAATAGGAACAAAATTAACAGGAGAGCAAAGTAGCAAACTCTTCATGGTTGTAAACTGTATCAATTCAATTCTGTCTCTGTCACTTAACCATAAACATGGTTTATGAATTGGATTTCAGTTCTCTTTTTATTATTTCTAGGGGATGGGAGATGAGGAAGCTATCTCATCAAGTAGTTTACAGTGTACCTAAGGAAATAAGACTCAGAATCTTGACCCAGAGTAGAGGTTGCTTCGGTAATTTTATGTTTCATTATTTGTTGGTGAAATTCAGAGTAGGGGATGGAGTGTTAGTACAGTGGGTAGGTCATTTGCCTTGGGCTCAGCTGACCCAAGTTTGATCCCTAAAATCCAATATAGTTCCCTGAGCACAACCAGGAGTGATTTCTGAGTGCAGAGCCAGAAGTAAACCCTGAACACCGCCTGGTGTACACCTCATCCCCCATACCCCTCACCCAAAAAGAAGAAAATTTCAGAGCATGAAGAAAAAATTGAGTTGAAGTGTATGCAAACAGCAGAGAAAGTTATATCTCTGAATAACAATAATAATAAAGGTTAATAGAGGCAGAAGTGAGACTTTTGGGAGCACTATGGTGAGAAATATTCTAAGAAAAAACAGAGAAAGGAAAGTGATCCAGTATTTGTGGAGAAATCCGCATAATTCAAGGGGAGTACTCTTATTTACTAGGAAAAGAAATAACTTTGGGTAAAATAATAAAACATTTTAGTCTGTGAAAAAAATTACTTTTCTGGAATGTAATCTGATGAAAATAGTGCTTGAGGAAAATAGATTTACTTTACAGTTGAAGAATTAATACTAGAGAAAATTTAAGAGCCTACAGATGACAATAAATGAGATCACCACCTGGTTATGGAGAAATGGAGAATGTATAAACTAGAAACAACCAATTCTAGAATATGGTTGTGTGCCTATATACATATTTGTTCAATTTGTCTTTCTGGGGTCACACAGACCTGAGTGGAGGAGAAGCCCCCATGGGGATTTTGTTGCTTGATGATCCATTTCACAATACGTGATGCCACAGTCAGGTCTCTCGTTGATGGGGCAGGCTGGACAGTAAGGTAAGCAAGTAGCAAGTAAGATGTCATCTCCACGTCAACAGACGGAGCCCGGGGTTCATAATAGAGTGGGCTTGGTTCTTGACGTTTCCCAGGACGTTCCCAGTGAATTGAGTCATCTTGAAATGCAAAAAGATAACATTCCAAGCTTAAGAGATTGGTTTCAAATTTTAATTTATAAATGATCATGATATGAGAGCCCACCTAGTGAGCTAATTCAAATGAAGTATTACATGATTGTCTTCTATAATCTCCTATCAAGCATACTTGGCAACAGAGTAAATAAAATTTCTATCAAATCACAATGTATCTTTGTTCGTAATGTATTTGAACATTATGGTTCAAATACTTGTGTGATATTTTGAAGTTAGGTTGTAGAGAATCTATAAACCATAAGTGGATGAAAAGGTCCAAGATATTAGGAACATTGAAGTGGTAGATCACTGTTAATTATTCTTATAACCATTATAATAGCCCATAAAATAATGTAACATTACCACCATAGGTATGATCTCAGGAGATCTTCTCTCTTTTGATTATGTGAAATTTGGGGAAATAAATTTTATAGTCGCATGTCTTACCATCTGTCACAGCCTGTCTCTCTAAGGACCGAAGTAGCTCATTTCGCCTGATCTGGTTTCCTGCTAGTGCAAAGGCATAGGCCAATAATGCCTTGGTATACATAAGATTCCTTCGGTTATTTGAGATTGACCTCCAGGTTGTTTCCAAGCAGAAAAGAGCATTGCGGACAACTGGGTGCTATGAAGAAGGGGAAAGGATGTCTTAAGAAAACAGTAGGAGGTTAATGAATGATCCCTAGACTAATCCCACATTTATAGTCCCAATGTGCCTGGGAAGCATCACAGTTCTGACCAGAGACTAATTTGTTCTATGGCTTCAAAAAGGATTGGGTTCTTTAAGTGCCAGTGAAATATACCAAAATTAATAACATAAAAGCTATAAGTCATTTTCCTTAGAGATTCATAGCATTATGGTTTTTATTTCCCATGTACGTACAGTGACAGGCAGTGGCATCTCCAGCAGAGCAATGGTGATATAGGCAGAGAGCGTGACCTCATCATCCACACCACCCTGTAAGGATCCAAGATGGAGATGCTCAAACATTCCAACATTCACTGCTGGATAAGCTAATTGTGACATTCATTTGGGCATCCTCAGTAAAAAATACCTTTTATTATGAAAAACTATTGACCACCTGCCCTAATCTCCCTCTGTCTTCTTCCACCTTAAAATATTTGAATTGGTGACTTGAATGTGTGAATACTTGAATGTGCAAATTCCACAAGTCACATTTACTCATTTTTAGTAACATTTATTTTTTAGACACTACTTTTTAAATTCAATAAAAATTTATTGTTAGATTTAAAGTGTTTTAAGGTCTAGCATCCTTCCTTAAAGATGTCACCAGGACCTTAAAAATCAGAAGCAGCTTCATGGTTTCTATCTATCATAACTTCAGGGACTAAAACAAAACAAATGGTCTCACCTTCATGGCATTATGCAACAGTGATCCAGAGCGTTGGAAACAACCATTTGCCTTTTGCTTTTGTGAGAGCCATGTAAAGGAGGTGGTGATGTGTGAGTTCTCCACATAGATGTAGGCCTGGGCTTGAACAAAAGACTTGAGCACAAAGGCGGTGAGCCTGTCCAGCAAAGAGAGTTGAGACATGAGGGCTATTTTCCTTTGAAGCTCACCTTGTACATTGCATCCAGATATTGGTCTTTACAATTTAGTGGAGAAAATTATTGCAAGGATGGTGACTTTAAATTGATGGCAAAATAAATCTTAAGAGGAACGTTGTATGACTAAAACCCGTCATGAGCAGCTTTGTAATGATGTATCTCGTGGTGATTCAATTAAAAAAAAACTTTAAAACAAAAGAGTTGAGTACTATCTTGTTTACCCAGTAAGCATCTACAGATTTCTCTTCTAAAAATATTCTACTTTACTAGTTTTTCATAATTGCTCCTTTTTTTTTCTTGTGAAACGTTTATTGGAACCTTCAATATCTCCCACACCAAAACTGGCATTTTCTGAATTATTTTACATCATAGTTTTGAACTATTTTCTTCTTATCCTACCCTTACGTGGTAGAGAAATACTTTCTTCCTGTCACTTCACTTTATGACACTCTGTCTTATATTTCCATTTTCAGAGGATTCCTTACTTCACTGTTACATATTGTATCATCAGAGCAGGTGAACTTTCTTCGATAAAATGCAGATATGACTAGTAGTTATGACAAACATAGAGAACTTTAAACGATAATATATGTCAATGAAATTCAAACATCAGAGAAAAACTATTTCCAGAAATTTGGAATATTTATATAACTACATAAATAAAATAGAAATAATTATCTTACCAAGTATTTCCCTGACTTCCGCCATTATCCTCTCCAAAGGCACTGTACGAACCATCACTGTGCTTATAATTCAATTGCCTTTGGTACCCTGAACAGAAAGTTTTCATAGATTTAGAAGTAGAGGGACAAGAGTTAATAAGTCTTTTCTCTTAAATTGAGTTATAGAATCATAGTCAATTATTGTTTTATTAAGATGACACTAAGACCTCAAAATTTCATTGATTTTTATGGTTTGCAATAAGACTTTCATTGCTTATTATGGCAACATGATTATTAAATATTTTTAAAAAGTATGCTGATTTGAATTAAACTGAAGAATATGTTTACTAAATCAGAGTTCCTCTTTGTGTGGGTCATCTCTTACCACTGACAAGGTGACTTGTGGCTTTGGCCTTGATCTTCTCTGTCAACTGTCCTGTCTGAGTCAGATAGTTCAGGACATAAATGTTAGGGACAAAAAGGACCATATTCTGCTCTCCACAACCAAAGGGCATCTGGAGAAGATTCTGAAGATTTGTCACTGCAGACCCGAGCATATCCCCTAATGAATGAAAGATACAAAAAAGAAATCAGGGGATCTTAGAATTGACTTGTGTTGGGATAGGAAAATCTATTGATCTATGACAGGAAGTCAAATTACATAAAAGGGAGGACAGGAAATAATGAAGTGGAGAAAATTAAGAAATCAAAAAGTAAAACAGAAAAAAAGGTAGATGTCTTAAGGATAGAAAAATGGGGAAGAAAAGGAATGACAGAACATTATTTTATGATGTTTTTCCTGATAAGTCACTTGATTGGGAAATGCCCAACTCTTCAAATTAGTTTGATAGTTTATATCTAGTCAATCCCTTGATATGAAGGTAAAGATAAGGGACTTCTCTTACTTTTTAAAAGTATGTCAAGCTACAAAATATAGCACAACCTCTCATCAATTCCCTTTCTGTCTAGTGCACAACCTAATCTTTCGCTCAGTGCTCTTTCTCTCAGTTCAGTATCTAGAGCCAGGAGCTTCTGTAACTACAAGTGATAATGAATTGGAATTATGGAAACAAATTGCTGCTTCCTTTTGAGGTCGAGACTCACCCAAAACTGAGTATGTTGCCCTGGCGGATCCTTCAACCACATTTGAAGGAACTTTCAGTGACAACTTATCAGTCACTTCGTTTCCTAGTGAAAGAAAACAAATGTATATTAGGGAAGAAAATAAGAATAAAGTTTGATTTTTTCTGAATTTTTTCTTTCTATAGGATCAAGATCTTGCTTCTCATTTCTTTAAGTCATTATGTATCTCCTCATTGCAATCCAAGATTCTCTTAAAGCAATGACTCATATCACACGAAAACTCTTATGATATATATATATATATGTGCTAAATTTCTATAGTTTTCTTTAAAAGTAATTATATGATAGCATTATCTACTCATTTTGGTTGCTTATTTATTTTATAATTAGTGTTTTATTTTAATTACACAAATTCCATAGACATGCGTTAAGTACATTCTGTGCACCAGTTCTTCTTTACATGTAATGATATGGCAATTTTCAAAATAAACTTCTTGACATTGGGATCAGAGCAACAGTACAGTGGATATGCTATTTTCCTTGCATGTGGCCAACCTGAGTTTTGTATTTGCATCCAATGTGGTCCCCTGAACTTGCCAGGAGTGAATCCTGAGTGCAGAGCCAGGAGTAAGCGCTAAGTATTGCTGGGTGTAGCTCAAAAAAAAAAATCAACCCCCATTTCTTGACATCTTAGAGTTTTCATTTGAATGGAAGCAATAAGATGGCAAATAAATATGAATTATGATCAATGTTAGTGAATTCAATAGAGGAAATTAAAAAGGAAAGTAAAACAAGGTAAGCAGGGAGAACAGGGACTGCTTGGGGAGTCCATACTTAGGATCACAGGTGAATGAAGACTAAGGGAGAGAGATTTATAGATGTCTGGGGAAAGAGATATTCCGAAAAAAAAAAAAAACATGAGAAGACTTCCAGGTATTGGAGCATACTTTATGAAATATAAGAGGCTCCCACAAGAAGTGATTAGGAAGCCAGTATAGCAAAGAGTAGTAGGTTAAGTCATGGAAGATTCAAGGTTTTTGTTGGTGACATTTCAGATACGCTTTCACTTTGGAGAATCTGAGAAACTTTTAGAGGACTTGAGCAGAAGAGAAGCATGATCTGGCATATGGATTAAATGATCTCTCTTGCTGTAGGGAAATAAGAGAATGTGATAGGAGATCAATTAGGAGTTACTGAGTTAAGCAGAAAAAAAACTAAAGATGAAAAGAATATAATGGGAAATGAGAAGTCTCAATATATTTGAAGGTGTGCACAACTGGAGTTTAAAATGAATTGGGTGAAGTTTTTAAGAAAATTGGCATAACAAAGAAGGACTACAAGGTTTTTATCTCTGAAAGGTTTAAGAGAGTGAAAATTGGAGGAGTATATGTTATGGGGATCAGCAAAGGTTCAATTTTAAACATGGTAGTAGTTTTGATATGCCTACTAAATCTACAGAATTATAAGTGGAGATGATAATCCAACAGTTAAATATATGTGTCTGAGTTCAGAAAGAAGTGGGGAACAAAACGCAAATGTTGTGATCTCTGCTGAAAAGTTGAGTGATTAAATGAAACTATTAGGGAGTGTTTACAGAGAGAGAAAAAGTGATACGCACAAAAAACTTGTGTTCAAGATAACTCTAGTTGATGACGAGCTGAATATTTTCATGGTAATTTTATATGAATGTGTTAGTAGTGTTAGTAAAATATTGGTGTTCTATATGTTAGTGGGCTGGAGCAACAGCACAATGGGTAGGGCATTTGCCTTGTATGTGGCCGACCTGGGTTCTAGTCTTCCATTCCTTTCGGAGAACCCGGCAAGCTACCGAGAGTATCCCGCCAACATGGCAGAGCCTGGCAAGCTCCCTGTGGCGTATTCGATATGCCAAAAACAGTAAGAAGTCTCACAATGGAGACAGTACTGGTGCCCGCTCTAGCAAATTGATGAACAATGGTAGGACAGTGCTATAATGCTATATGTTAGTAGCCTAAACTTCTTAAAGTAACTTATCTATGCATTCATCTGGGGGATATAAAATAACAAAATATGAGAATAATACCCAAAAATAGTTGAGATCAACACCAGGAGGATTACTCCATAGCTTAGAGGCCAGCCGGGTATTCTAGGGGAAAGGACAGTTCAGATGGAGAAGGGAACACCAAATGGAGGGTGTTTGGAGGATCCTCCCAGGAGGGGAGATGCAGGTTGAAAGTAGACTGGACTGAACATGTTTGCCACTCAATGCCTCTTGCTGATCACAACACCCAAAAGGAGAGAGAGAACAAAAGGGAATGCCCTGCCACAGTGGCAGGGGGGGATGAGGGGATGGGGGGATGGGGGGGGAGGGGTATTATCCTGGTGGTGGAAAATGGGCGCTGGTGGAGGGATGGGTATTTGATCATGGTATGACCGAAATCCAAGCACAAAAATTTGTAAATCTACAACTGTACCTCATGGTGTTTCACTAATAATAAAAAAAAATAATAAATAAAATAAATAAATAAATAAAAAGTAACTTATCTAAATAGACACACAAGTACATTTAAATTACTCATAGAATAATGAATAATAATGAGAGTGCCATACAGATATCTCAATATTAGAAAATTTCAAAAAAAAAGTTTGTGAAATAGAAATTTATTTAAAAAATTTCTATATTATCACTGTAAGTTCTAATCTTGATATTAGCTGAGAGTTTTTAGGTTGTCTTTTAACTTATGCCTCCATCAGCTGTCCTTATATTTACATATTGAAGAGTGTATAATTTTGTTTTGCTTTTTTTCCCCCAAAGGAAAGCATTCCCTAAAGGGTATTGCATTACTCTATACTTTGTCAGTAACCACACCAGAGAAAACTTTATTTATTTTTGACACTTACGTGAAGCACAGAGCATGGTGTTGAAAGATTCTTCCCTTTCTATTCCTTCAGGCTTTGTATTGGAAGAGGAAAAAGGAAAAGGAAAATGATATTGAATGCATAGGGGAAAAAGCAATCATTTTGGAGGGGAAAATATTAGTAAAAAATTGAGTTCTGATAACACCCACGTTGGGAATGAAATATCACTGTAGCATACTTAGTAGACAATGTTGTGTTATATAGTAAGGCTTCAGAGCTCAGAGAGTCTCCCTGCCTACCTCAACTAATAAAGGCTTGACCACGGTGTCCTTCCATCCAACTGCTGGAACCTGGGGCACCTCACCGTCACACAGCTCCTGAGACTTCAAGGCTTCTGCGCTGGCTGTGAAGTTCATCTTTCCTGGGGAAGAAGATCATCAAAGCACAGAGTGTCTCTACATGAATGTCTTGTTCTTTTTAAGTTATCCCTAGAACTGACACTGTTTTTCTTTGCAGTACTCATTATTAAAGGGACAGAAATGTGTTTTCTGTGTCAGAATGGAAAACAGATCATTCAAACATAAGTAGCATTCGACAACACACCACTCACCTAGTGACTTTGGGGTCACAGCCCAGGACACTGTTTTCTGCCCACTTCCACAGACACAGTGAGAGGCTTCATTCTTCTCTGCTGGGACAGCCAAGAAGGCAGGAGAGTCCTCCAGCTGCATGCTAATCTGTTTCCCATCCACACCCACAAGTGTGAGAAAGAACATGGCAGAACTGTCAGTCACAGGAAGAAGAAATTTACAGGGGGCAGTGCATAGGAATTGAGAAGCTTTTTGAATTATTGTCCAGACAAGGGAAAATCTTGCCAAATGCTTCATTGTTCAGATACTTTCTGAACAATAAAGCAACCGAACAATTGACAAGAAATAGGAAAAGTGCCCAGGATTTAAATTCATACCAACACATGAAAGAGATAGTTTGTGTCATCAGGGTGATAACTGAAGACAAACCCAAAATTTTTACGTAAGTTCTGAATTTAGAAATACAGCAATAATTGAGTCCTGAGTGATAAATCACCACCCCACCTTGGGCTTGTCAGGTCACTCTGCTCTCAGTACTTTTCTACCCCCAACCTGAGGTACCATCACATTCAATTCTGTTTTGCTGGGGGGTTTACCTAGGAGACTAAGGGAATGGTTGATTATGCTCCTCCCTTACCCCCTTCCCATAACACACACACACACACACACACACACACACACACACACACACACCACTTACCCGCATGCACTGGGACAAGTAATTGAACACAGTGGCTTTGAGTGTGAAGGCTTCTCCTCTAACCACAGAGTAGGGCAGAGTGAGGTCTAGGAAGAAGGGCTGGAAGGCTTGAAGAGAAGTGATGGGAGAGAGGCCCAGCCCTGCTGTTCCTGACAAGCAGAGTGCACTGGCCTTCCACTCTGTGATGGTGTCAGGGATTTTGATTTTCAGCTCCTTGCTGCCTGATAAACTAGTGAAGGGAAAAAGAGGAGGGTGAATTAATCCTAGTAAATGAACCTCTCCCTCTTAGTAAGAATACTACATCACTCAACCTAGAGCATGGGAGCTTAACAACTTAAAGCAAGAACTGCTAAATTTGTTCTAACTTGTGCTCCTATCAAAGTCTCTGAAAGTTTTATTTTTCTCTTTAAGCAAAAAAGGTAGTTTCCTGCTTTCTCTTAGTTTAGGAGTCTCAGGATCATACTAGACAAACTTTATATTGGTTAGTCATCAGACAGATGAACTATGACTCTAAATATTTATTAGAAAAGAGTGTAACAGAACTTAAAGGATCAGGAACCAAGGGTATTACCAGAATCATAAATGAAGACAAATCTTTTCCTAAACTAAATTTCCAACAACATACAACTTACTCAAGTACCACCAAGTCCCAGATCCAGGTCTCAGGGAAATACTTCCGGATTGTCTCCTTCTTTTTCATTTCTAAGGATGGTGGAAAGATTTGTCCCATACCCATCATTGGAGGCACTGCTCCCACACCTCAGAAAAAAAAGTTTAAGGAAAAATATATTTTATAACCCAATGAGTAAAAATAAGAGAAAGATAGCAAAATAGCCATCACTTAAAATCATTAGCTCTGTAGAGATGTCATACTTCTCAAATTCCATAATATTTACACAGGGAATTACCAACTTATTCTTTTTTTATCTTTTTGTCTATTTTAAGTTTACTCATATTGCTCCATCAAATAGTCTAGTGGTAAATGCATGTTTTCCCTAGAAATAAAAAGTAGCTCTCCCTAGGCTAATTAGCCAATGAATAACAGGATGAAGAAATGATAATTTAATATCCTAATATTACTTTGTTTTGAAATAGTGAGCACATGTTCTCTATCTGCTTTGAGATTCAAAAGTAATGGATTGCATGGTGGTGGATGTCCTGTTGAAACCGTGTGCGTGGGAAAACAACAACAATAATAGTATTGTAAATCACAGAATGCAATCAATAAAAATGAAAGACAATAAACCAAATGATACATCAAGAGAATTTCAGCAATGTTTATTTTTTGATGGGGTCCACACTCAGGGGTTTTAAGGACTTGTTCCTGGCTTTGTGCTCAAGGTTCCCTCCTACCAGGGCTCAGGGATCCATTGGGGTGTTGGGAATCAAATTCAGGTCGGTAAAATAGAACTCTACTATCTCGTCAACTTTAGGAGATAATTTTACTTTATTATTTTTTATTTTTTAAAATAATTCATCTTTTCTGAGGTGCTGGCATTTATAATACTGTTAAACACACTTTTCATGACTATGTCCAGGAATGATTTTTTTAAAACTTAGATGGATACATAAGCAACAGAATATGGTAGAGGATAGATTATAGAGAGCAGAAAATAAAACAAAAACAGAGAAAAGGAGTTTAAGATTAGAACAAAAGCTACCAAAGAAGTGGACAGATACTTCATTTGAGTCATCCCAGGTAGACCAGATCTCCATGCTGAGATCTCTGAGCCTTCTCCTAATGTTTCAGTTCTACTTTGGGGTCATGGTTTAGGATTTGGGGTGGAAATACTTGAAATGTGGTGGTGGAAAGGTGTAATGGTTTGGGATTGATGTTCAATATTAAATGTAATGAATTATTGTGAACAACTTTATAAAATTAAAATAAAATCTAAGAAATAAATATTAAAACATTTGAAAAACAAATAAAAGTATTTTAGATAGTTAAAAAAGAAAAAGCCTTCCAAATAAGAATTCAGGATGGTCACTGAAAGATTAGACACAGGAGAGGATGGAAAAGGCATTCCAAGAGAATGGCTGCACAAGTAAGGACAAGTATGGCTGAAGGGATGCTCCAAATGAAAACCTCTGGAGTAGGCAATCTATTCTGGAGATATGTTTAACATAGTTTTATAAGGTACACTGGTGGTGTTAAGGAATGACAGAGTAAAATATCTAAACCACAGAGTCAACTACACTGAAATCAAGAGACCCAAAGTCTAACCACCAAATTTAAAAAAAGGTGCCTGTCAAGATGGCAGGCTGTGGGTGGGGGTGGGGTGGGGCCTAGAGGCATAGGAGAGGAAACTTGGGAACACTAGTGGAGGGAAGTTGACACTGGTGCCGTGATCAGCACTGGAACATTGTATGTCTAAAACCCAACTATGGGGGCTGGGGCAATAGCGCAGAGGATACAGCATTTGCCTTGCACGGGGCCAACCCGGGTTTGATTCCCAGTATCCCATTTGGTCCCCGGAGCACCGCCAGGGGTAATTCCTGAGTACAGAGCCAAGAGTAAGTCCTGTGCATTGTGGGTGTGACCCAAAAAGCATAATAATAATAATAATAATAATAATAATAATAATAATAATAATAAAAAATTAGAAAAAATAAAACCCAGCTATAAATAACTCTGTAAATCATACTGTTTTAATAATTTTTTTAAAAAAAACACCTTATCACATTGGCTAGAGAGGTGGCATACTGGGTAAGGTTTATAACAATAGATTTGATTTTATGATAAAACATAAATCTTGAGCACTACTGACCTAAGTTAGATCTGGCACCACATATAACCTGTGTGCCTGGCTCACAAACCAAAGAAAAAACAAATATTAAAAACCATGTTATTTTATGGAATCATAAATAAAAAGTGTTTTATCTTGTGCTCACAGAATCTCAGAGATGTGGCTGTTGCTAATTTGACTATGAACAAATTGAACCCCCAATTTTCTTTGTCATATATATTCTACTCACATGAACCATGCCAGGTAGGGTTGTGCTGAGAGCATTTCCTTATCTGAATGCAGTGTTCTTATTTTCCTTTCTGTTGAGTGAATTTCAATCCTTTTTTGTTTTTTCAACTAGAGCTTTAGTTCTCATCTTTCCAGGTAAACCTTTCTACTGATTTAAAATGTGTGACTTTTATTTTTGAAAAATAGTTTATAGGAACCCTGGAATCACCACAAGGAGTGAGCACGGTGTCCCTGCATATGAGTAGCCCACTAGGAAGAACAAAACCATTTCATATCCTCACCTTATTTTATTTTTTTATATTTTGTTTTTTGGGACACATCTGAAGTGCTCAATAATTACTCTTGGCAGTGCTTGGGGGACTATATGGGTTGCCAGGGATTGAACCTGGGTCAGCTGTATACAAGGAAAATGCCCTACCCATTGTACTATCGCTCTGTTCCCTATTTTCAATTATAAGTAGAATTACTAGTATTTTAATAATACCAAAGGAAATTTTTCTAGGGCTGAAAGCAGTAGGAAAAATATTTTGGTGGGGAAAAAGAGATAGCACAGTGAGTTAGGCACTTGTCTTGCATGTGCCTGGATCGGGTTTGGTCCCCAGCATCCCATATGGTCCCCTGAATACCACCAGGAGGAATTCCTGAGTGCAGAGCCAGGAGTACCCTTAAACATCGCTGAGTGTGATAAAAAATTAAAAAATACTTCCAATATTTTCAATTTTACCTCATATTTGGATGTAATTGAAATAGAAAACAAGCAATGTATCTGCCAACTATTGTATTTACTTTCTATTTTGTCCAATATATTAACATTTCTATGATTATCATAAAAGTAGATGGCTGATACAATATTCATATGTTCCTTTACATTTCCCACCCTCCTTTGCATCTAGGGCAAAAGCAATCGATACACTGCCCTTGTGCCAAAAACTATAGCAATCCTCAGAATCATCAACTTTGCGAAGAACCTTAGAATTCAAGATATCTCTGCCTGTTTGGGAAGAGGACAGAAGGGTATAGGGAAGCAGAGAAGTCTAAAATCTAGAGGTTAAAAATTTTGTTTTTGGAGCAGCTCTCCAGCACGGCCATGGCTCCAGAAGCACAAGGACTTAATGCAGAACCCGGCAGCTTGAGGCAGTAAAGTGAATGGACGATGCATTAATCCATGCCACCACGCCTGCCCGGAGGGAAAAGGATGTTGCTCCCTTCTGCCTATCTCCCTCTGGACAGCAAGATGGAGGCCGCCTCGGAACTTTTTGGAAAGCCAGGTATGAGTCGGCCGTGATGGGGGCGACTGAAACCTCATGGGAAGGATGGCATTCTGGGCTCGTCCTTCACGCCCTACCGAGGTCACGAGTTGCCCCCCATGAGCGGCTTTCTGGCACAGCCATGGCTCTAGAGCCACAGAAACCAGTCTCATAATTATCTGACTCTTGGCAGAAATACTTCCAGGCTTAATAAGTAAAATATCAGAAATCCAAAATCGCGCAGCCACAATTGCGGCTGCGCATCATCATTTGATTCTTGTAATCAGCTATAAAAACTATAAAAACCCAGCTCCCAGAAGAGAACAGCACAGAGTCTTCTGCCCTCGCGCCTGGCTGTCCTTGCCGGGACCCCTTGGAGGGGAGCGGGTTGAGTTTCCCTCCCCGGCCCGACCAGGACTCCAGCAGCTGAAGACCTCCAGAACCAGCCACCACCATGCTGAGACCACTCTGCACACATGAAGGTACCGGCAAAGGCGCAAAGGCATACAGGTCCCAGGGCTGAGATCTCCAAGCCTACTCGGATCGGGGCTGAGCATCCTCCACCCAGATCCTCCAAATTCCAGTAGGCGGGAGTCACACCCACCAACTGGCCCCCTGGAGCCTTGTAATCCCATCAATGGCCAAGACTCAGAGACTATAAAACCCAGCTCCTGGAAGCCTGCGGCCGCATTTGCGGCAGCGCGACATTTTATAATGACATTTTATTATCTCATTCCTACTTTGGACAAACTGGCAGGCTACCATATGTAACCTGCCTACACGGCAGAGTCTGGCAAAATCCCTGTGGCATACCCAATATGCCAAATACCAGTAACAATGATGGGTCTCATTTTCCTAACCCTGAAAGAGCCTTGAATATGGCACTTTTTTAAAAATCTCAGGGCTAGGACAAAGGAGACGTTACTGGTGCCTGCTCGGGGCAATCGATGAATCAGCTATAGAAACAAATTATTTCAGCATGTCTTTTCAATAGGTCTGATTTGGGGGGTTAAACTCTACATAATAATAATGCATCTTTTGTCAAAACAACGAATCTAATCAAAGTAGATAGAGTGTTAACTAGAATTCATCTGCCTCACAGGCATTGGGAGGGTTGAGAGGGAGGTATATTGGGGTTCTTCTTGGTGAAAAATAAGTACGGGTGAAGGGAAATGTGTGTGATGATTGCATGACTGAGACTTAAACCTGAAAGCTTTGTAATTTTTCCCACAGTGATTCAATAAATTAATAAAAAAAAGTAATGACGAGATTAGGACCCTGCTGGGGTTAGGAAGACTTAACCTGAGGACTGTGGTCTGGAATATATAGTGAGATTTCCTCAGGAAGAACCAAACTTTAAGTTGATATATCTCTTACTGTGCTCATACAGAATGACATTGCTAGAAATATTAGAAGTAGATTTACTACAACTATTTACGTGGATTACTAGCTGAGGAAAGAAGAATGCAACACAGCCTGGATGGGATCCCGCCCTTAAACTGATCTCCTAATAATCTGGAGTAATCTCCTTATATGAGATTTTATCCTTGAGTTAGGAGGAGTGGTCTTACCCGACTCAGTTGATTTGTTAATGTTTAACCCACCTTTATATCACCACCCTATGTGATTGCTATATAAACTAAGACTGTAAGATCAGAGTGGGGAGTGAGAATCAGGGGTCAGAGGCAGAGGCAGAAAAAGAGTCAGGGAGTAGTCGGAGCAAGAAGCAGGTGAGTGAGAATCGGGCTTCAGAGAGAGAAGCAGAAGGAGAATCAGAGGAGAATGAAGAGGAGATTGGAATAAACTGCAATTGATATAAAAATTGTTTTTTCAGGGCAATTAGCATATAAAGAAAATATAGCAAAAAAAAAAGATTACCAAAACACAAGACCTGATACTTAGAAAAATTAACTTTATACCAACTCAATTCAATAAAGACTCAATTTTCTTCCTTACCTCCAGCACCCATTAGCGGTGGTGCTACAATCTCTGGTGCCGCCAAACCCATGGGTATCCTGGGCGGTCCTGTTTGGGAAGGAAGATGGAAGGATATAGGGAAGCAGAGAAGTCTAAAATCTAGAGGTTAAAAATTTTGTTTTTTCAGGGCAATTATCATATGAAGAAAATTTAGCAAAAAAAAAATTACTAAGAACATAAGACCTGATACTTAGAAAAATTAACTTTTATGCCAACCCAATTCAATAAAGACTCAATTTTCTTCCTTACCTCCAGCACCCATTGGCGGTGGTGCTACAATCCCTGGTGCCGCCAAACCCATGGGTATCCCGGGCGGTCCTGTTTGGGAAGGAAGACAGAAGGGTATAGGGAAGCAGAGAAGTCTAAAATCTAGAGGTTAAAAATTTTGTTTTTTCAGGGCAATTATCATATGAAGAAAATTTAAGAAAAAAATTACTAAGAACACAAGACCTGATACTTAGAAAAATTAACTTGTATATAAACCGAATTCAATAAAGACTCAATTTTCTTCCTTACCTGCAGCACCAATTGGCAGTGGTCCTATCCTCCCTGATTGCGCGAAACCTATGGGTGGCCCGAGCAGTCCTGGGACAGGCAATGGACCCATCATTGGTATGGGTGGTGCACCAAAGAGTCTTTCTTGAAGTGGCTGACAAAAACGTGGCTTGTATATTTTTGAGTTGGTAAAAATATTGAATCCAGAAGACTGAAAGAAAGGTGATTAGCAAATACTTTGGGAATGCAGTCTTCAGACTGAAATGGTTTCTTTCATTTGTATTATACTTTCAGTACTCTTATGTGCATAGTTCCTATGATCATCATAAAAATTCCACAAAGTAGGGAGCAAAAAGCTACTTTATAAATAAGAGAAAAAACAATGCAAATCAAGTTTACCCAGATAGTGAATGGGAGCTGGGACTAGAACCCTCCTCTGATTCCATTTCATTATTTTGTCTGCTTTCACTGGATGCCACTTGAATGATCTTTTGCAGCCAGAAAAATGTTTTAGACTTGCATGACGCCCATCTTTTACACCCTCCACCAAACCAAAACCAGTAAAATAAACAACAAATATAGTTCAGTGATTGGGCACACACAGATATCTAATACCCCAAAGGTTCCTTCCCTTCCCTTCCTTCCTTCCTTCCTTCCTTCCTTCCTTCCTTCCTTCCTTCCTTCCTTCCTTCCTTCCTTCCTTCCTTCCTTCCTCCTTCCCTCCCTTCTTTCCTGCCTTCTTTCCTATCTTCCTTCCTGCCTTCCTTCCTGCCTTCCTCTCTTCTTCTCTTCCTTTCTCTCCTCATTGTTAGGGATTGAGCGTAAGACCTCACACTTTCAAGGTAAATGCAAAACCACCAAGCTATATTCCTGGCCTCTTTATTAATTTCTTTTAACTAGTGTATCTCTGCATCTAAAACACCTACACTGATGCCCGTGATAGTCTGATTCATCATTTCATCTTTGACATTAGGCTCAGTGAGCTGTTAGCAGATGAAAACTATGGACTCATTTACACACAGTGGTCAGAGGTGGGAGGACGCAGGGTAGGAAAAAAGAAGCCAGAGACAATTGTTTAGGTATGGTGTTGAAACATTGTATGCATATAATCCTATCGTTAGCAGTGTTTTATATCATGGTGCTTCAAATAAAACAATAAGCTTTTAAATAAGTCATAAAGATTAAATGGCGAATAAAATAGTGTCCTCTTTTTTTTTAATCCATCCCTTCCCATAGGTGATTTTGGATTTTTGACTTTCCAGAAGAGGGAAATTGATCTCAGTTAAACTGCAGACTTCCCTCAGAAAAAATGATGTTCTTTGGAGGTATAAGAATAATTTTTGTTTATTTATTTTTACTGCATCAAAATAGTTTTTATTGTAAGAAATGCCTAGAGATGTGAGGGGAAAGAGAGAAATATTGAAGAGAGAACACAAACTTGGAAGGAAATGTCTATAAAGAGAATTTTCACTCAAGTCCCTTTTTGTAGAGTTTACAACCACAAGTTTGATCAGCTTCTTTGTTATTAACCATCCTAGCCATATTCTATGCTAAAAGAGACATTTTTAAAATATGAGAGCATTTAAACCCATATTTTGTTTGTGTTTTCTTGAGGAAATGCTTCTTATGGTTCTCATAAAATGCTGCTTCTCCAAATTCATGTATTGTTATTTACTCAGTCAAGAGATGCTCAGAATAATGGCTCCTATCCTGACCTGTCTGACCTGTTCTGACCTGTCCAGAGATGTCAGAGGCACAACATCATTTTGCTTGGTTTTTCACACATGGAATTTCTTAGAATCACTTGGAGGAGATGGTGATAGCACTGGCTAGTTTGGGGATCAACTCGGCTAAGGTTGGAGGCCTAAATATGTAGACTGCTCTTAATAATGCGGGAGAATATAAGTCTGAGTATCTGGATATATGCATAGTTTTTCATGCAGCTCAGCTCACTCAGCTTCTAAGCATTCCTATATTTCTTTCAGCTTTTCTGGGAGTGGTGGGAGGCAGACAGGATTGCACTGGAGAGCTTCTGAAGCCCCTTTGTTCACTTTAACCAAGAGTTAAACATCAACTTTTTGTTTTTTATATTTTGTAAAGAATTACCTCAATGATGGTGTGAACATCATCTTCAAACAGGATCTCCTTTGGCGTGTAAGTGATTCCATTGTGAGTTATGTCATCTGCAACGATGCAGTCTTCATTATTGAAAATCACAGGAACCCTGGGTACATATCTCTGGGTATTAGGGATATCTTCCACAGGTAACAAATTATAGACCTGCAAAATGGAGAGAACAAAAGGAGCACTCTTGCTTTTTTATTGTATTTTTAAGTGTGATGCTGTTCACTTATGTAGTTAAAAAGTTTAGGGGGGTTACTTAATATCCATCCAATACCAACATCATAATGCCAACTACGATAATCATAAAGGAGATATTAAAGGTTTTGGATCCTAATTCATTTGTTGTACCAAAAATTATTATATAGGAAAATGAAATTAATAAGCCACCAAAATCTCAGAGTTCATTTGGGTTGTATAAGACAAGGGCCAGTGTTCTGTTTCCAAACCCCAAAGTCTACTTATATTTTTGTCACATGACTAGATTTATGTAGTTTTGCTCTCTGGCACTAAGACAGATAAAGGGAAATTTAAACACTGTATTTAAAATATTAATGATAAACTGAAATTTAAAATATTCTATTGTGATTCTGCAGTTTATGATACTCTTAATAACAATTTGTCAGGTAGCAATTCCAAAGATCTACTTTAAAAAGGGAGCGGAAAATTTAAGCAGCAGAGAAGTGTGAGGAGGGAAAAATGCCTGCCACAGTCTCATGCTAGAAAGAATAACCTTTTCAAATACTTGAATCATTTTTCTTTTTGTCTAATTGAACTCCTACTATATGATAAGTGTTCCTTCTCACAGAGTCATATACCTTGCCTTAAGTACACTATTTAAGATTCACATTTAGATTAAAGAAAAAACAGGTTCACTGGGAACCTAGAAATAAATTAATCCCAGTTTATTTTTACTCAGTGTAAAGCCATCCACCTATTCATATAGAATTTAAGTAATTAACTACCTTCAGGCCTCCTTAAGCATCTCCTAGCAATCTGACTGTTTTCGTCTGTCAGGTAGGCTGCTATGATTACTTATTGCTATGCTTTCATCCTAGCTCTCATACCCTCAAAATCAAGAGCATCATTTTAAAAAATATAAGTAAATTATTATCTCTGTTTCACCCCCAGCCTCTCCCTACCTCCTCTATTACCACCACATATTACTTCATGGACTTTTCTTTTCATTTTTAATTGAATCACAGTGAGATACACACTGTTCATATGTTCATCATACAAATGTGTTCATCATGATTGGGTTTCAGTTATATAATGTTCCAACACCCATCCATTCACCAGTCTACATTTCCCACCACCTATGTCCCCAGTGTCCATCCTGCCCCACCCCATGCCTTTCCTTTCTCTCTTCTCTCTTCTCTCTCTCTCTCTCTCTCTCTCTCTCTCTCTCTCTCTCTCCTTTTGGGCATTATGGTTTACAATACAGATACTGAAAGAGAAATCTGTATCCCTTTACCTACTTTCAACACTGAGTTTTTGTCCAGAGTTATCATTTCTACTACTATGTTCATAGTTTTTTCATCTTTATAACACTCCAGATTTACTTTGACTTGAACATGTTACTTCCATTCTTTATACTGCCCCTCTATTAAGTGACAATCTAAGATCCCCCTAAATAAATAAATAAAAATTGGTGCAAGTATTTTTAACCTCAACTTCCTGTTTATTCCTCTTATACTTATGAAAATTTAAAATGACTATATATTTACATGCATTTATTGCTTATCTTAAGACCTCACTAGACTCTAAGTCTACTTCCTTCATACTGCTCACCACTGGAAGTTTCTCCAGCAGTAGAATTCTGCAGTCAAGACACTGCAGATATTTGTCTAATAAATAGTAGAACAGAAAACCTGTAAATGAAGTGACCATTGTGAAAGTGTTTCATGAGAATAGACATCTTTCAAAGACAAGCCTGACTGGAAACTCTCTTCATTCACACATAAAACTAGCAAATATTTCATGCTTCCCCCCACCCCTGGATTTTAGGGACTGCAGACAAATCTGACATTTCACTAAACACCTTGAAATGTGATGCTTCAGGAAGTGAGCTTGAATGAAATTTGGCACAAATTCTACCTTTTCAATATGTTTGCCGTTCACTTTCTATAGCTGCTTAGCAGAGCGGCGTTTCTTTCTTAAACAAGGGTAATAATATCACCGTAAAGAATGTACTCATTCATTAAAATATGTTGAACATCTTTTATAGAAAATGTACTATGCTAGGCACATGATGGTAGTGGTGAACAAGATTTTGCTTCTCCAAGAAAATTTTGTAACAGAAATAAAATAAAAAGATGTATGTAAGTCACCTTATGCACTATTGTTTTCATAACAACTGAATTTCAACTCAATCTATTAAATGACGGATGACACTCAAAAGAATTTGAACTTAGCAGTTATAACTTTCCATTTCCAAAAATAGTCCTATCTAAGCATCTTTCAATAACGAAGATTGAAATGTGACTTACTGATTGAGGTGAGAGCTCGGCTTCAGGCTTCATTAGAAGAACACTCTGGTCCACTGCACGAAGGGCACAGAGGGAGCTAGGGGAGGCAGTGACCTTAAGTTTGGTGTCTGAGGTTGGTAGGCCCTGGGCTGAGGAGAAACTCACATCTACCTGTAATGATGATATGATTATATTGCTAATGTTCTAATTTCTAAAATTTAAAGTAAAATAAATAAAATTAAATTTATCAAATATATTTTTACTGTTTTTAATATTTTATTGAGGTAACATTGCTTTGTTAAAAGCCATATTATATAAGTTTTATATAGAGCCTATACCGCAGTTAAACCACACTATGATTCAGCAAATGATACGGCATCATGATTATCATCAAAAGTCTTACTTGCATTCACCACCATACAATTGGCCTTTAATCTGTTTAACCCAACTCTGACTCCTTTTTCCTCTACTAACCACCCAAATGTTACTATGTCTAAGAGCTTTTAGTGCTTTCTTAATGTCTTGAATTTTCTTTAAATTTCATATATGAGTGGAATAATATGGGATTTGTCTTTTTCTTTCTGACTTGTTCCACACTCAACACAATATCATCAAAGTCCACTTATATTATTGCCAATGACATGACTGCATGCTTTGTTTTGCTTTACTTGGTAGCTGAGTAGAACTAATCCTTTCTCTAATTTTTCTCTGTTCATCGTTTTTTGACCGGGGTGAATATGCCTAGGAAGTATCAGTTAATCATTTATGGAATAAACTGGGAGTGTGATTCCAGTTAATCCAGATTTCACAATATTAAAAAGATATGCAAATATATACGTATCAAAATACTTAGATTATATGTAATTATAATCTAATAAATTATAACTAATAAATAAAGCCCTCTCTATATAAGCCTTCTGACTTTCTTTTATAAGCATCAGAGAATTTCTTAAGCTCTCTTGGGACCTTCCTAGCTTATGCAGAAGTAAATTTTATTTTGTAAGTTCATGATTCTCTTTAATATTTACCCATTCAATCTCATATCTGATCTATAAATCATGGAGACCTCTTATTTGTTCCGTCAGTATTAATCAGATTGAAATAGAATTCTGAATGGAAATAAAAACACATGCTAATAAATACATATACCTTGACACAGCTATTCTGTCATTATGCTCTCTTTTTCTGATTAATATACATGGTTTGCATAAGACTGTAATATCACATTCCCACCCTGAGATAGTGAACTGACATTTCATTCAGTTTGCAGTTACTTAAAGCAGTGTACTTAAAGTAGTGTAGTCCTGCTCATCAGGGCCAGGAATCAACTGAACACTTAAAAAAATTAGATATCCATTAAGCATCACATTATGAAAGTGATAAAATTCAAAGATTCAAAGAACTGTGAAAGAAGAAAAAAATACAAAATAATGGAAAATTATGCAGAATGCTCTTTGGAATTTGATTTTTATTTTTTTTTAAAATAATTGACAAGTAAATCTATTTAGTCCCTATGTTTATGTAAACATTTCCTGAATAAGCTAAACTTCATTTTATAAATAAAATATGACATTTTAGAATTCAGTTATTTAAGTTTTGTTGGGTTACTTTCTATGCTGTTGACCTCACTGACTTGGACTAGAATAAACTATCAGTACACTAAGTTAAAAATATTGACATTATATAGCTGTGACAATCCTGGAACATGGTCTTACAGAACAATTTGGATTCATACATAATAGTAAAGTAAAGTAAAGGCCCTCCCATTGATCATTGATTTGCTTGAGTGGGCCCAGTAACGTCTCCATTGGAGACTTTGTTGTTACTGTGTCTGGCATATCGAATACTCCCGGTAGCTTGCCGGGCTCTCTGAGAGGGGCAGAGGAATCGAACTCGGGTCGGCCATGTTGGCTGTGTGCAAGGCAGATGCCCTACCTGCTGTGCTATCGCTCCAGCGATTATCATACATAATAAGATATATATATATATATATATATATATAAAAGTAGCTGGTTATACTAGAGATATAGTAGCATTCAATATGTTGTGAATGTGACCAATGAGGAATTCTAATTAAGATATATTTGTTTTCATTTTTAGAAATTTTCAGTTTAATAAAATACATTATTTCTATGAACCAGTAAATTATCTGGGATTGAAATTATTTTAAATTAGTATTATAATAAATTGAATTTATTATTAACCAAGAAGTGAATATGTTAGAAGACATTACATGTTTTATGTATTTGGCAACCAAACAAAGAATATATTAAGGACTATTTTGGGAGTTTTTACCTATGTATAATGATCAGTGAGTATTCTTAGTGAAAAATTCTGTCTAACTAACAACCACATTTAAAAATATTGCACCATATTTTATGTGTATACAAAATATATATTTAAGAAATACATGAATGCGTTATTAACAGAAAAAGTTTTCTCAGTTTTTCCAACAAATATTGGAAAAAATACTAAAAGTATATTAAATTTGATTTGAGGGAACTTGAAGTGACACGTACACTATTCTTTTCATGTCCTATCTGAGTGTCTAATTACAGAGTTCTTAGTTTTTAACTTTAGTAAATTTCTTCTAACTTCTTATGGAAATTTTGAAAATCAGTTTTTTTCCTGTTAGGAAATATTCACTGGCATTATTTTTTTCATAGCTTATCTCTGCCTCTAAGTCATGATATACTCAAAGGTATTTTACTTAAGTTTATTGTGCTTTTGTTTCCAAGAAGTTTTATGGTGTTTATGGACGTCTCATGTTTATACCAGACTAGGTAAAGGTAAAGGTAAAGGCCCTCCCGTTGATCGTCGATTTGCTCGAGCGGGCCCAGTAACGTCTCCATTGGAGACTTTGTTGTTACTGTGTCTGGCATATCGAATACTCTCGGTAGCTTGCCGGGCTCTCCGAGAGGGGCGGAGGAATCGAACTCGGGTCGGCCATGTTGGCCGCTTGTAAGGCGAACGCCCTACCCACTGTGCTATCGCTCCAGCCAAATAGTAAATAAGAGAGATGCACTCCTATGTTCATTGCAAAACTACTCACAATACTCAAGATCTAGAAACCATTGGGCTGTTTCCATATCTTGAGTATTGTGCTCAAGGCCTATGATTAGATAAAGAACATAAGTTCATCCAAGCGTTGTCATTACACATATCTTTATCCAATCAGATATATGTATGTATCATATATATTTGTACATATATACACAATGGGATGCCACCCAGTCATTAACAAATATGAAGTCTTGCCAGTATTACAATACAGATATGCCTTGAGGGGATTACAAGTAAAACAGTTCAGGACAAGACAAATAATTCTGATTTCACACATTTGTGTAGTATGGTAAAACAAAGCGAACAAAAAATCCAAACATACAAACAAACCCTTAGATTCTGGTAACAGAATGATGGTTTCCAGTGGGCAATGGGATTTCAGAACATGCAGAAGAGATCAATAAATTGACCATAGATGTTAACAAGAGAATTTTTGGTGAATGGTGATGACATTATGCACTGGGACAGTAAAAGTCAATCTTAAAAAATTCCATTGGAAAATAACTTGTCTATATATTTGTAGGCTTTTCATTTCAGCTATCCTTCAAAATAAAATAGCACGTGATACTGTATTAGATTTTTGTTACAGTCACTATTAGAGTGTCTAAGTTATGTTTAGAAACTTGGGTACATACTTTTATCTCTGTTCTGTATTATAAAACTGAATTTAAACTGACAAAAGTCACTGGTTTCTGGTGGTTTCTGCATGCATGTTAGGAGTATGCTGAGATGAAACTCAGGGAGTGTTTTGTGAAGCATCATTTTTAATTGAAAATTAAGGAACAAAAAGTTCAAAGTTAAAAGTTAATGCCTTATAATGGAATAAAATGTGAGTGACATGCAAATTTGAAGGAAAAAATCCAAGAGACTTAAAAGATGTGTTTGTTCACCTGCTGTAGACTGTACCACTAGAATCCTGAGGAATTTCACCACTCATCCTTTGGAGGTACTTTGAAGGAAAGTATCGGGAACAATCAATGGCAATCTTTGTATGTCAAATGGCTTTTGACATACAATTCATTTCTTTTCATACTTCCAAATGGAGATAAATTAAAATATTGAACCTCAACTGAAAACTCACCTTATTGGCAAAACACTTTTCAACCTCTAGTTTCAGAGTATCTGCGATCATTTCTCCATCAGGTAAAGTAGTATAAAAGAGCAAACTTGCTTGAGGAGCAATGTCTAATCCCACTTGGATGGAGAAAGAAAATACCCCTTTCACTGAAAAATGAAGAGAATTGAAGAAGATAGATTATTACAAAGGTAGAGTTCTCAATTTTATAAAGAGCAGTTCTTAGTTCATTTAACCCCTTGGTTATAGATGTGCTTAAAAATTGTTCATGTTATAGATTTAATATTTTGGTGAATAAATGTTTAACAAAAGCAGTATATTCTATTGCAACTGATACCAGTTACTCTAAAAAAAGGATACACAAGTTAAATATTGTCCCAACTTAAATGAGTTAGACTCCTAATCTTGCACTTAGTTGAAACAAGTGCGTAATGAGTCTCAGTCATCAAGTGTATTGAAGGGCTTAAGTTACTTATGTCTGTATTATGCTGCAGAAAGAAATGAGTTGCATTTAAACTATTGTGCATGTAGTAGTAATATATGATGAACTAATAATATTTTCCCTTAATGATGCAGGTTAGACCATTCATTTTCTGAGCTTAATTAGGAAAGAAATTACGTGCATCCCATTTTTTAAATTTAAAAGTTATTAGATTAAAAATCAAAGAGAAAATATCTAGACATCTTTAGTTATCTCTGTGGTCCAAGTCAGCACAATTTGTATTTTATACATGAGGACAATTTGAAGAATGCAATAAAATCTTCACTTTCAGAGAAGAACTACAAGTGAAAATAATGATACATAAAAATATTGTGTACCTTTGATTTCTATCTTAGTGGATGCTTTATACATGAATTACACAGCACTTACCTAATGTTTCCACCATATTTTTTCACAAACATTTGATCTTAGACCTAAGGAGTAAGTTTGATCTTTGTAGCATGATTTGTGAACAAAAATTATCACCTTTCTCTACCTTTGGAAGTTCTGCATCAATTTGTGGTGAAATACACACACAAAATTGAAATGATAATACTGAAAACATGCAAAGATGGATTTCTGAGGGTAGAAATGTGGACATTAAGGGCTCTGCCAATTAGAAATTAGGAAGATATTTATGGAAAATGAATAAAAAAATCGTTCACTCCATGTTATAGAGTGCTAAAAGCTTAGCTGAATGGTGCTTGCAGCTATTTGCTGAGTAGATCATATTAACAACAAATGTGGATATTAGCCAAGAGACTCTTTTAGTATGTTGATACTGGCACTTAATTGGAGCTAATGAACCATTTCAAAGCATGAGCCACTGCATGGCATACTAGTGTCGCAATATTGAGAAATTTGTTAAAGGTTAACCTTTTTTCACTCCTATGTAAAATATTAGAAATGAGAGAAATTAGAATTGCTAATCTAAAAGGAAGTGATATTTGGTCGTTTGAGAAATTTTTAGTCTATCCAGATTACGCACTGTAGCTCTGTACTCCCATTGTTCATCGATTTGCTCAAGGGGGCATCAGTAACTTCTCCATTGTGAAACTTGTTACTGTGTTTGTCATATCGAATATGCCTCAGGGAGCTTACCAGGCTCTGCCCTGCGGGCAGGATACTCTCAGTAGCTTGCAGCACTCTCCTAGAGGTGCGGAGGAATCGAACCCGGATTGGCTGTGTGCAAGGCAAATGCCCTACCTGCTGTGCTATGGCTCCAGCCCAACATAAATATTAATTGATTAATAATATCGATATTAATTTAGTAACCCAATATTAATATACAATGAATAGATCAATTGGAGCATGAAAAGAAAACCAGTGATAAAAGTCTCAAATTCCCCAGTGACAATATCACCAAGACAGCTACTAAAAGTGGAAATGAGTAGAGAGGTCTCCCCAAAACGTTGGTGGGATGGAAGTGACATGAATTGTGTACATGTGTCAAAGAATGTAGAAGACACATATCATCTCGTGGGCAGCGGGGTGGCGAGCGTTTGCCAGGAGATGCCCTGAGCTGCGGTTGAGGGCGCGAAGCCCAGCTGGCTGCTGCGCCTCCTGCCTGCCCCCTCCCCACTTTCCCGAATTCTAAAACTAATGGTCAACCACATAGAAGATTACTTGAACCCATGGGTTTTTGAAGAATCATTTCAAAAGAAAAAACACAAAAGAAGAAGTACGAATGTCTATCCAGATTATAAAAGACAAAAATGTTGACTTTGAGTCTTAGAAAATTGTGTTTGTGAAAAGCCAGTGTAAATGAACAACCATTTGCTAATATTTTGAAAACATTAAAATGTCAGAGTATTCAATCACAATTGAGTATTTGAAGAGTTTATATGTGACCCTAAGTTATCCTAGCAAAAGTTCTAAACACAGAATAAATTATTCAGAAGAATCTATAGAGAAGATTCTTATTTAACGAAGTAAGTCACCATGACACATGGAAGATCCACAAAGTTTCTAAGGAATTTTCATCAGAAGAAACTGTGTTGACTAACCAGGAAATAAAAAATATAAAATAAAGAAAAACACTGGATTTGCCAAGTTCTACAGAAAGGAAACATACTGATAAAACAAGTCAACTGAAAACGCATGCTTTCTTTTTTATTTTTTCATTTTTGTGTCACACCTGCTGATGCACAGGGGTTACTTCTGTCTCATAAACTCAGGTACTACTCCTGGTGGTCCTCCGGGAACCATATGGGATGCTGGGAATCGAACCATGGTTGACTTCATGCAAGGCAAACACCCTACCCGCTGTGCTATCGCTCCAGGCCCCAAGACATGCTTTCTTAATGAAAAAAGAAAGAGCGATTCTCCTAATGGAGATTAGAACTGAGAGAGCAATGATATAAATTATTAGAGAATTTGGTGGGATGGGTAATTTATAAGAAAATTAATCAGTTAATCAATTCACTGAAATCTAATGTCTGCTTATTTGAATTTTAATATTTCTTATGACTGATGAGTATTTTTGTCTTAGACTTAATTATACTTTTGCCCTCACAAACACCCACTTTAAATGAATCCACTGATGATATTTGTAATTTTTAACTGATGAAACATCAAAATTTGGATTTGAGTTAACACTATATTTGATTGAGAATTTTCAGTTTTCAAATAGTGTGAATGCAATTTTGTATGTGGAGTGAATATGAATCTTTGGGCAATCTATAATAGGAAGGATCATGGTGCCTCAAAGATATTTATGTGAATCTCAAAATCTTGTGAATTTATAGCTCCATAAAGCAAAAGGGGTCTTGTAGATGTGATTAAATCAGTAATCTTGAGATGTAAAGATTATCCTGGGTTTTAAAAATGGGTCCAATATAATCACAACTATCTTTAACTTTGTTTGTTGTTTGGGCCTCCCAAGTAGTGTCAATGGTCCATGAGCTCTTCCCTGTGGCATCTGGTTAACCTGACCTGCAGTTCAGTGGGATGTCCTAAGAATAAGAAGTTATTCAGACTCTTCAGTGCCAGGGACCACCAGGAAGACCCTGCAGTGCCCAGGGCCTATAGTATCACTCAGTGATGCTCCAGGGTTTCCAAGGCTATGCCCAGATAGTCTCAGGGCGCCATGGAGTGCTGAGGATGGACCAGGTCGGGCACTATTCTTTGTATTATCTTCCCAGAGTCCACAGTTATCTTTAAAAGGAGAGGGATTTGGACTGGGAATGTAGGTCAGGTTGGTAGAGCACTTGCCTTGCATGTGTGAAGCTCTAGGTTCAGGGGTATAAGACAGAGATTTGGAGGAATTCAAGAAGCAAGGAATGCAAAATGGAAAGTGGGAAAGCAAAGACACAGAGCTCCAGAAAGAATGGAGTCCCATTGACACTTTGATATTAACTCAGTGAGACTTCTAACCTACAGACATGTATTACATAATCTATGTTATTTAAAGTCAGAAAACATTTGCTAATCATCTGGTAGGAAATTATGTGTAGTTAATACATAAGAATCAGAAAATATTTCTTTGGTGATTTTCTGTACTTTTCAATTTTTTACCTGCTTTTAAAAATGATTAACTATGAAATAAGTATAGAGCGATAGCACAGCGGGTAGGGCGTTTGCCTTGCACGTGGCCAACATGGCTGACCCGAGTTCGATTCCTCTGCCCCTCTCGGAGAGCCCGGCAAGCTACCGAGAGTATTCGATATGCCAGACACAGTAACAACAAAGTCTCCAATGGAGATGTTACTGGGCCCGCTCGAGCAAATCGACGATCAACGGGAGGGCCTTTACCTTTACCTTTACCTGGACTAAAACAAATATAGAGCTGCTAAAAAAGAAAAAAATCCACTTAATTACAACTGAGTGCACGGTTATTTTTTACCAGCCTTTGCATCTTTGGTTGACAGAAGGTTGGTGACTATTGCCTCTAATGTAAGAATAACTCAAATTGTTAAAATGTTCAGGATTTGATACTATGAGGGCCAAATATAAATTACTGAGAGAACTTACTGTTCCCTTGTGTAATGGACAGAGCATGTGTTCCAGATTGGGAGATGATTCCTTTAGCTTTGATCTGAAAAGAAGACACATGCATCACCATTTCCAATGTCAGATATTGACTTTTTAAAAAAATATATAAGTAATATTACCATTATAACTCTGCAGTGCTTTCGATTATTAAATGTCACTTCTAATATTTTCCTGTAAGATTGACTTCTTAAATAACAATCACATCATTTTGTGGTGTTTTACTACTTTAATGTTTGCTACCTATCTTGAATAAAAGATTTCAATTTTGCATTTATTTCAACAAATTATTTTAATCATCTATCTTAGGCAAAGTATTATATAATAAAGGTGAATATAAACTGTATGTGAATATTCTCTTTTGTTGCCTCTAGTTTAAATATTCCATCTAACTTATTTCTATTTTCTATTACTAGAACCAAAATAAATCATTTAGCTTTGAGATTTTATTTAATCAACTTGATAATTCTGTGAAGTAGGTATAAATAATATCTCCAATATTCAGGTGATATGGTAGACTTTTTTCTTTACAGATAAAATTAGAGGTAAATTATCTAGAAAGCAATAAGTAGAAATAACCAGAAAGCAAGAAATCTTACTGTTAATTTTTATAGAATATAAAAATGTCACTTATAATTAATTCTTTAAAGAAGATCTTACAAATACAACTTTTATCTTCAAATGGTTTATTTGAGTAAGTAACCAACTTTGATTATTTTAAATTTTATTGCATAATATATTATATATATAATATATATTGCATAATCTAATATATATTGAGACCAGTTGTAATTACTGGTTTTGGCATATCGAATATATATATTGACCTCAAAGATATACCAGTTTAAAATATACTTATAAATGTACTTTCCTATGAAATAATAGCAACCATGAGCTTTGTAAATTATTTGGTACAAAATATCACTTCTTTGCCTCAATTTTTTACTTCTCCAATTATCAAAATTGAATTGTTTCAGAAGACTATGTATAATTTTATATCCTATTGATAAGTTTCCAATTCTCACACCTTCTATTTTCATTGAGAAAATGTGGTTTACAACAGTTTTCATAATATTATTTAATACTTACAAACCACTACCACTACTATCAAAACATTCCCACTGTCCTCACAGTCTCAGTTCATTGTTCTTAGTGTTTGAGTCTTAACCTTATCTAGCTAGTCAGTTACATGAAAAGCACTCTCATTAACTTAACAAGGCTTGTCCTAGGCTTTTCCTTCTCTCATGGTTTCATGGTTTTCCCTTGATCCTCAGAAAAAAAGCATAAAAATTTCAGAGGAGACCATAGAATAAGTGAGAAATTAAAGCAGTAATGATCTGTAAAGGAGCAACTTCAGGCATTATAACTATATATATATATAATTATATATATATATATAATCATTATCTTACAAAGTCCTTGCTTAGCAACTCAATCTTTTGGGAATCTATACTATTACAAACAACTATAGCGACTTTTATTCTTACCAAATAGTAGAATATTAACTCTTTTTCATCCTTCAGAATCTGTTCATTTAGGATGTAGTGTGCCCTGATCTCCTGGGCTTGTCCACAGGTGAGAGGATCAGCGATAGGTTCAAGGTGAACAAAGCTATTGCTTGGAGAAAAAACACGCTTTGCAACGTGCTGGATCTGTGCAGGATTCTCCTCAAGCCATAGCATGTCAGGACAGAAGTCAAAAGTCTTGTAAATGACCTGATGGAAGAAATAAAGGTCTTTAGGAGGCTATTTGTTATTCATCTATAGAACTATCATTTACTCAAGATTTTACAGGAGTTATTCCTATTTGGTTAACATTAAAATCTGCTTTCTCAAATGAATTGAAATCTGAAACTGCCTTCCCATATTTTATATAAATTTATAATAAGCTTATTTTATTCATACTTTATTCACAATCTTATATTGTATATAAGATGAATATTTTTCTTAATGCCTTTATGGCTACAAATTGCAGAAGAGCTACATACTCAACACAAAACAAAACAAAAAATAATGGCACATTAAAATAACAAAGCTAAATCTACTTTTTAAAAAAATTTATTTTTTAACTTTTTTATTGAATCACTGTGAGATAGACCCTTTCAAAGCTGTAAATGATTGGATTTCAGTCATACAGTATTCCAACACCCATCCCCCCCACTAGGGTACACTTCCCAGCACCAGTGTCCCCAGATTTCCTCCTCCCACCTCCTACTCGCTGCCTGACTCTACTCCCTGCCTGACTCTATGGCAGGAATTTTTCTTCTTTCTTCTCTCTCTCTCTCTCTCTCTCTCTGTCTCTCTCTCTCCCCCTCCCTCTCTCTCTTTTTTGGACACTGTGGTTTGCAGTATTGATGCTGAAATGTTATCAAGAATATCTCTTTAAAAGGGAAAGAATATTCACTGAATACACATCCAACAAGGGGTTGATATCAAGGATATATAAAGTACTGGTTGAACTCCACAAGAAGAAAACATCCAACCCGGTCAAAAAAGGGAGCGATGAAATGAACAGAAACTTTCTCAAAGAAGAAATCCGAATGGCAAAAAGGCACGTGAGAAAGTGCTTTACATCATTAACCATCAGGGAGATGCAGATCAAAACCACAATGAGATATCATCTCACACCACAGAGACTGGCCTACATCCAAAAGAACAACAGTAACCAGTGCTGGTGCGGATATGGCGAGAAACGGACCCTACATCACTGATGGTGGAATGCCGACTGGTTCAGTCCTTTTGGAAAACAGTATGAATGATTCTCAAAAAATTAGAAATTGAACTCCCATTTGACCCAGCAATACCATTCCTGGGAATATATCCCAGAGAAGCAAAAAAATATAGTCAAAGTTTACAACTGTACTTCATGGTGTTTCACTAATAACGATTTTTAAAAATTACTTAAAGAAAAAAAATAGAAATAAAAAATAAAAACACTAAAAAAAAAAGAATATCCCTTTACCTACTTTTAACACTCAATTCTTGTCCAGTATGATCATTCCCAGCTATTACTGACATACTGGTTTCATCTCTATCTTACCTACCCTCCACTCCTCACACACTTGTGGTTAGATTCAACCATTGACCAGTCCTCCTAATTCCTGTTTTCCCTGGCCATGGACATAGTCTTCATATATATATATATATATATATATATATATATATATATATATATACACATGTATAAATCGCACAGCAGAGCCTGTCAAGCTACCTGTGATGTATTTGATATGCCAAAAACAGTAACAATAACTGGTCTCATTTCCCTGACCCTAAAAGAGCCTCCAATATGGCAGCATTGAGAAAGATGAGTAAGGAAAGGCTGCTATAATCTCAGGGCTAGGACGAATGGAAACATTACTGGTGCCTGATTGAGTAAATCAATGAACAACAGGATGACAGTGATACAATGATACAGTGATATATGTATATATAATATACATATACATACATATATAATATACATATATATCACAAATGAATGAGTCATTCTATATAGGTCCCTCTACTTCTACTCAGTGCACTCAGCAAAATATTCTCCATGTCCATCCATTTATAGGCAAATTTCATGGCTTCATTTTTTCTAACAACTGCATAGTATTCCATTGTGTAGATGTGCCATAGTATCTTTATCCATTCATCTGTTCAGCACTTAGGTGGTTTCCAGATTCTGACTATGGTGAATAGTGCTGCAATGAACATAGGAGTATTGATGGTGTTTCTGTTGTGTGTTTTTGGGTTCCAGGGCATATTCCCAGAAGTAGTATTTCTGGGTCAAATGGGAGCTCAATTTGTAGTTTTTTTGAGAAATGTCCCTATTGTTTTTCAAAAAGGCTGGACTAGTTGGTATTTCCACTAACAATAAAGGAGAGTCCCTTTCTCCCCACATCCACACCAACACTGGTTGCTTTTGTTCTTTTGGATGTGTGCCAGTATCTGTGGTTTGAGATGATATCTCATTGTTGTTTTGACCTGCATCTCCCTGATGATTAGCAATGCAGAGCATTTTTTCATGTGCCTTTTGGCCATTCAAATTTCTTCTCTGAGAAGAGATGCAGATCAAAACAACAATGAGATATCATTTCACACCACAGAGACTGGCCCACATCCACAAGAACAAAAGCAACCGGTGCTGGCGTGGATATGGCGAGAAAGGGACCCTCCTTCACTGCTGGTGGGAATGCCGGCTGGTCCAACCCTTTTGGAAAACAGTATGGACGATTCTCAAAAAATTACAAACTGAGCTCCCATTTGACCCAGCAATACCACTCCTGGCAATATATCCCAGAGAGGCAAAAAGGTATAGTCGAAGTGACATCCTCAATTGTTTGTTCATTGCAGCACTCTTTACAATAGCCAGAATCTGGAAAAAACCTGAGTGCCCGAGAACAGATGACTGGTTAAAGAAACTTTGGTACATTTACACAATGGAGTACTATGTAGCTGTTAGAAAAGATGAAGTTATGAAATTTACATACAAGTGGTACTACATGGAAAGTATGATGTTAAGCGAAATGAGTCAGAAAGAGCTGGATAGACACAGAAAGATTGCATTCGTCTGGGGAACATAAAGCAACAAAAAGGGAGACTAACACCCAGGAATGGCTGAGATTAGTAACAGGAATTTTGCTCCATGACTTGAAGGCCAGCCACACGTGCTAGATGAAAAGGAAGCTCAGATAGAGAAGAGAGCACCAAATAAAGGGTGTTGTGATGACCCTCCCAGGGTGGGCGAAGCATGCTAAAAGTAGTCTATAGACCAAATATGATTGCCACTCAATGCTTATTTTGCAAAACACAGTACCCAAAAGAAGAGAGAGAGAACAAGGGGGAATGCCCTGCCACAGAGGCAGGGTGGGACGGGGGGGATGGGGGTGGGGTGGATGCTGGGACCCGTGGTGGTGGAGGATGGACACTGGTGGAGGGATGGGTACTTGATCGTTGTATAACTGAAACCCAAGCACAAAAATTTATAAGTCTATAACTGTACCTCATGGTGTTTCACTAATAAAAAAAAATAAAAAATAAAAAATAAATTCTTCTCGGAGAAAGTTTCTGTTAACTTCATTGCCCCATTTTCTTATGGAATTGGACATTTTGTTTTTTTCTTGTAGAACTCAATCAGTGCCTTGTATACTTTGACATTAACCCCCTTATCAGAAGGGTATTGGGTGAATTTCCTTCCCATTCTGTAGGCTGTTTTTTTTTTCTTTTTGGATCACTCCCAGTGATGCTGCTCAGGGGTTACTCCTGGCTTTGCACTCAGGAATTACTCTTGGTGATGCTTGGGAGACCATATGGGATGCCAGGGATCGAACCCAGGTCAGCCGCATACAAGGCAAAAGCCCTACCTGCTGTACTATTGCTCTGGCCCCCATAGGCTGTCTTTTCATCCTGTTCACTTTTTTGTTTCTTTGTTTGATTTTTAAGTGCAGAAGCTTCTTAGGTAAAGGTAAAGGCCCTCCCGTTGTTTATCGATTTGCTCGAGCGGGCCCAGTAACGTCTCCATTGGAGACTTTGTTGTTACTGTGTCTGGCATATTGAATATGTCACGGGGAGCTTGCCAGCGATAGCACAGCGGTAGGGCGTTTGCCTTGCACGCAGCCAACATGGCCGACCCGAGTTCGATTCCTCCGCCCCTCTTGGAGAGCCCGGCAAACTACCGAGAGTATCTCGCCTGCACGGCAGAGCCTGGCAAGCTCCCCGTGACGTATTCGATATGCCAGACACAGAAGCTTCTTAGTTCAAGATAATCCTGTTTGTTTATCTTTGCTTCCACTTACTTGGTCAGTGGTGTTTCATCTTTGAAGATACCTTTAGCTTCAATATCTTGGGGTGTTTTGCCTGCCTTTTCTTTAATGTACATTATGGATTCTGGCCTGATGTTGAAATCTTTAATTCATTTTTATCTGTCTTTTGTGCATGGTGTTAGGTAGAGGTCTGAGCCTGGTTTTTTGTTTTTGTTTTTTTGTTTTTTGGTTTGTTTTGGTTTTTACACTTAGCTGTCCAGTTTGCCAGTACCACTTGTTAAAGAGACTTTCCTTGTTCTACTTCTTATTTCTTGCTCCCATATCAAAGATTAAATGATCATGTATTTGAGGGTGTCTGTAAGGATCCAAATCTACTTTTTAAATAAAATTTTAAAGATAATTTACTCAGCCGCCTGGAACTCCTTCATGGTATAAGCATTTATATAAGTGAAAGCTCTCGGGTAGAGAATAAATTTAGGTTGCCATATTTACTTAATTTCTAGTTTACTCTGCCTCTTCTATCCTTAGAATTCATCAGCTTTCCATATGTCCTTCAATTATGTAGTCCCAGTGAGCTGTCATTTTAATCCCAGGTACTGTTAGAACTTACCGTGATATATAAGAAAGAAGATGTGAAGTTGGTGGTATTCATGAAAATGTCCACCAGGCCATGCTCATTAGTAGTATAGTTGTGGGGATTTTGTCTGTTATCCCAATATACCTCCACAGTTTTATTGGGAATTGGCTGGTCCTTTTCATCAACCAGAAGAAGCTAAAAGTAGGAAAGTGATAACTGGGTGTAAGTGACATGTTGCAACAACATTTCCCCCTCCTGTTGCTTTTAACCTCTTGACTACTGAAGATTTAAAGATTTTAGAATATGAAAATAAGAGATTTGTTAGATTCTTACCTATAATTCTTTTCTTTTTGACATTCTATCTAATGATTTCATGAGCGTTTAATTGAGGAACAACAAAAGTAGATTTATGATTCCTCAATTTTTTATAATATAAATTTTTCTCTATCTCTCAGTTTAGAGTAACTCTATTCAATACCTTGCTTCTGCAGGACTTTGAAGAGTTGTTTTCATTTTTAAAAAATCTGTTCCATTTCCTATATTTTACCAATTGGTTAAACCGAGTCACACATAAGAAAGTAGTATAGAGATTTGCTACAAAGTGAACAAAAGCTTTGCCCTTTCTAAATTTTAGTAATTGTTTTGACTTTTTAAAATTTGCAATTTTCTATAATTTCTTACTCTAACCACATACATTCTTAAAATACATTTTGATTTTGTGATATTAAAATTTATTTTCTCAAGTTAATTCCCAAGTATATATAATTATATATTTAAAAGATATTTTACCTGCCCAAAGAAAGGAAGCCCACGTCTATAATGTGAGTCAACTTTAGTAAATTTCAGTTTGCTTAGGGTATTTGTGACTTCAGAGGATCCATGCCCAGTTAATTCCAATTCTGAAAATGTAAAAAATAAGGTTCGACTTATTCCAACCTTAACTCCAACTTCTCTCTATCATAACAATACTACCTACATCCTGTTTTCTTATTTCCAGCATTTCTCATACTTGGAAAATGCAATTCACATTAGATTTTACTTCATTTTAAAATGCTTGGTGTACTATTGTTCTGGGTTCAAACATATTTTGTGCAAACCTTGATGTTCTTGCTTTATTTTTCTCTCATCTTCTTTGTGACCTTGCTCTATTTTTTTGTTATTTTTTTTTTTACTCACATCATTGTCATCATCCCACTACAACATTCGGTGTACAATTTGATTTTTATATTGTCCTAAAATATGTTTAAATTTCTAGCACAATTGATTTCACAGTCTAATATCTTTGCATGTGATTTGAATTTTTGCACTTCCTCCATTTTAACTTTTCTGAGAATGAATACATCTTTTTTCCTATTCTGATGATGCATTTTTAGTCCCTCATTATTTTTCAAAATACCAACTATTCTATACTCATTAGTTCAAAGATTACTTTATAAACCTTTGTTTAGTTCTGTAGTTAGTGACCTCTCTTAACAGTAATTTATCCCTTACCTGTTGCATGTATGGTGGAATTTTATTATGTATGTATGTATACACACATATATATATATATATTGTTGTTGTCATCTCTAACTCCTTTGGCTCTGGGATCATATTACTTTCAAAGTCCTGACAAAGTATCAAGTATTTAACATGGATTGGAAGATTGATGTGTCTGAAGTCAAAGTTCTTTGCAACTTTGGTCCTTCCCTTTTGCCCCTGAAAACTTTGAACTCTGGGGTTAGGAAAGCTAAAATATACATATTGGCCTGAGTGCTGTAGTTCAGAGGCTATGGCAATCTTTCCCTGGTAGAAGTCACCTCATTATTCATTCGTTTGCCTCTGACTGAACCAAGACAGAAGCCTTAAAAACACTTTTGTACTAATAAGGCCTCCAGGCTGCTGGACAGAAAATACTGACCAATGGAGACACACAGAGCAGTCCGTCTCAACGTCAGCTCACTCCCAGTTCCTTAGCATCCAAAAAACACATCTTTTGATGTTTCTCCACCCTTTTATGCACATATGAGATATGTTCATTTTATGTTCCTTAGTGGTATATACTCATTAATCTCCCTCTATACTCGCTATTTTCCTTATAAATATGCATGTTAATTGAAAAACTAAAATATGAACCACTTTCAGCACATATGACTTGTATTCATCATCTGTTCCTCTATTATGTATACTCACCATTCTTCCTCATAAATATATCTGAGCTTCCTGTAAAATGACTGAAATATTTGGAAGCTGGTAGGTCAAATATGTCTCTGCTGGGAATAAAAGCTGACACATCCCCCCAATTTCCTCTTGAGAAGCAGTGCTCTAGCCATACTGGGGAACATCCTCCCCAATTGACAAGTTGCTATCCTGTCAACAAAACTCCCCATTTCCATTCAGTTGTCCCTGTGCTTTTGTGACAGCACTAAGAAATGAATGAATCAATAAATATTAAAAATAATACACACCTGTTCCTTCCTCTCTGATCCTGCCCTCCACCTCTATTTTCATTTCATATCCTCTATGTCCCAGCTGAAATTGTTGAGACTTTATGAGTTGTGTGAAGCAACCTTTATTGTCTGCCTGAAGAGAAAGAAAGATAATTCTTAGGTCACATGATTTGCTTTGCTATTAAAAAAATCATTTATGAAATTTTTTGCTCATTATTTTTGCTCATAAAGAGGGGTATTATAACTGTCTTAATCATCTTTTTGGTGCTTATTTCCTTTTAAGCACAAAAATAGCAAAATTTCTTCCCCTACCTAATCTTTGTCATTTCCCCTCTTCTAAAACTTTTCCTACTTATACCATATTAAATTTCCTAGACACTTTAAATATGCCACTTTAAATATGCCACAAATATTTGTAATATTATTTGAACATGATGTTGATCAAATCATACCATTCTTGTTTCCATATTTATATTAGCCAGCACTTACTACTCTCCAAAACTAAACTTATATTTAGCATCTTCTTAGAAATCTCTGAACAATCTCCATGTACATATGAGCCAAGGATTGTGTTATTAATTAATTATTTACTTATTTTTCTTCTTTGCTACATCAAGAAGTACTCAAGTACTGCTCTCAGCATAGAGCTTGGAATAACAGGGATATTAGGAATTAAATTTAGAATTCCCTCATATAACACATTTGAGATACATTCCTGTCCCCATGATTGAATTTAACAGTATTTTCTCTACAACAAGGACATTTATAGAAATATGGAAAATTCAATGAATAGCTAAATACTTAAAAATTGGATCCCCAAACTTAATATTGGAGTGCATGTTTTAATAAAGATCTATTTTCATTTTGAACCTATACATATAATATTATTTACTTACAATAGATATCATACTTCAGTTTGAAACTAAAAATATATCCTAGCCTCTTGGGTATATTAAATATTTTAGCTTGAGATTCTTTGCATGTTTATTTTGATTGTCAATGTTTATCTTGACATTCCTGGTCATACTCATGCCCTTGTTTCTCACTTAGTTGCTTTCTGTAGTTTTGATAACTATTTTCCAAACCCTTAGAGTGTTTGCTCACTCTGTCACACCCTATAAATTTATGTTTATTTCTTCTCAAACCAGAAATATCTGCATTTAATTTTTAACACAAATTTATGTCCTTAAATTAGGCATGATTTTTGTTAAAAGGATACTGACAAGTTGGAAAAATAAACACCACTATAAATCGGTGACATTAGTTGTAAGTGGACATAAAATTTCCAGGCAATCTTGACATTTTTCCTTTATTTCCAAGTTAATGATTTCAAACACCATTATTTGTTGTGTTTCAGTTGTTACGATAACCTACAATAAAGCAAGATCTCTCCATTTGTGTGCTGAGGGAACTAGTTTCCATATACCTGTTCAGTGAATTCTTCACAGATAGCTGTTGGACGTTTAGACTGGCAAAAGGAATAATATTGTTGATATTTTCGGCATGCATTAATTGTGACCAGACCAGAGACAGGCTTTCCATAGGTGTATCTATAAAAATAATTCATCATACAGAGATATTTAATATAAATGATTGTATTTCATTTTTGCTCTATTTAAAATTTATATTCATCTAAAGTAATTTTATTTCTTTTGTACTTTAGAAGCACGTTTTCTGAAACTGTATCTTATTGATCTAAATGGAAATATATCCTAAATTTTAAGAAAAAATACTCATTTGATCTGTATAAAACTGACAGTGCAGTTTTTCTCAGCTCTCTTCTTTAAGACTGAGATGTTCATTAGTCTAAGATTGTCCTACTTACTGTCACTTCTGTCAATTTGTCTAAGTTATGATTCTAGCTCATCTTTTTTCATTAGTGAAACACCATGAGATACAGTTGTAGACTTACAGATTTTTGTGCTTGGGTTTCAGTTATACAATTATTGAGTACCCATCCCTCCACTAGTGCCCTTTCCCCATCTCTAATGCCCCCAGAATACCTCCCACCCCCACCTCCCCATCCCACCCCACCCCTGTGGCAGGGCATTATCTTTTGAATTAACTTGATCTTAACTTTCAGAGTTTGAAAAGATGAGATAAATTTTAAAAATGGGTATAATATGACAGAAAATAATATAGATATCATAACTCCAGAATTGGATAGCTGGTTCGGTTTAACACACTAGCTGAGATATACAAATGCTCATAGAACTAGATTTTTTTTTAATTGCAAAGGCAAAGGCACTAGAGATTTGAGCTGAAAAATTCACTCTAGAGTTACACTAATGGATTTAGATTTAAGTCTGTATCTGCAGGAATTTGAACAAATTTATTCAATCCGGTGCACTATAGATTCCTTACTTATTAATTGAAGATAATTATTTCTATCTTATTGAATTAAGGTAAGACAAATCAATAATATTAAACACAAGACTCTTAAAACATTCCCTGGCTTATTTTAAGCATTAAATAAATAAATCCAATTGTAAAAATAACATCTGCTACCATTCCTACTCTCTATTCGTGGCTTAGATCACTTGGAAAGAGTTTTATTCTTCCTCTAATTAAAATACTCATATCAAGTAACAATAACATTTGAAATAAAAATAGATCAAGGAAAGAAAATCAAAATGAAAAATACAACTCACAGACCACAGACTGTGACATTAAATTCCTCCTCTAGAAAGCCAATAATCTTGGGCATTTTCACTTGGACCTCAAATTTGGGTAGAACTGTTAACAAGGAAAGAAAAAAAGAGGTGAAATTAGCAAGAGATATTCTAACTATTAGTAATCATTGCGATAGCATAGCGGGTAAGGCATTTGCCTTGCACGCAACTGACCTGGGTTCGATTCTTTTGCCCCTTTCGGAGAGACTGGCAAGCTACCGAGAGTATTCCGCCCGCACAGTGAAGCCTGGCAAACTACCCGTGATGTATTCGATATGCCAAACACAGTAACAACAAAGTCTCCAATGGAGATGTTGCTGGGCCCGCTCAAGCAAATCGATGAACAACGGGAGGACAGTGACAGTGACAGTGACAGTGATGCCAAAAACAGTAACTACAAGTCTCACAATGGAGACGTTACTGGTGCCCGCTTGAGCAAATCGATGAACAACGGAAAAACAGTAAAACAGTGCTGCAGTGCTACAGCAATCACTATTAAAAAAACAATCTCGGATAGAGTTGTGTAGGATTATTACATTATGAACACAGAAGACTCATTACTGACCATGAAGGTGCTGTTGTTACCACGGAAAGTTGGTAGATTTCAATGGAAGATTTCATGGGTATATGTCTCAGAGGTTCAGTGTGAGGATTAAATGAGTGCATAAAAAGTACTTAGTAAATATTTAAGTAAGTTTTCTTAATCATGCTGATTTTCAGCTATAATATGTCAGATTTTTTTAACTTGTTAGTATTTAAAACTATCCAGTCTTAAATACTTCAAATATAAGAGTTTCACACACATGCAAAATTCGTACCATATTCATCCACCTCAAAAGAGTGCTCAGTTTTCTTCCCTGATGCCTTTTGCAAAATGACCTTGTAGGAACCCAGAATGGGCTCCTCTGAGAGAGGAAAAGAGAGCTCGGTGAGACCACGTTGCAATGTGAGATTTTGCCTTTGGAAAACTCGGTTCTTCTTGGGATCCTAGAGGTAAAGACATGAAAAAAAACGGAAATGAATGTTTTTTAGTAATGCAACAGATTTTAGGAGAGGATAACTTTGGGCATTGGATAATAGATGTTTGATAAATTGGTAACAAAAATATTAGCAACTTTTCTTTCTGCTTCTTTTTTTTTAAATAAGAGTTTTTATTCAAAGAGGCAGTGATTTTATCATCTAGGGGATATTGGAGATTTCAGTACCTATTTTTCAGACTGTACATTTCAGTTTTGACAAGAATAATAACAGAGCAACTAAATAGCATCATCTCAAGGAAATTTGTTATTTACACAGATATGATTGTTCATTTATGTCATATTAACTCTTCAAAGAACTTCAGATAGGCAGGAAAACGGTATTTGTTTAAGTATTGTAAAGTAGTCGTAGGGAGGGAGTAGGTGAGAGGAGTAATTGCACGTACCTTGTAAATCTTTATTCCAACTGAATTTATTGGAATATATATTACCTACCTCGATGTACACCACCAGAAACTGAAAAGAAAAAAATAGTATTAATGTAAAAGAACTTATAAAGAAAAAATAAGACATCCTGCTGACTATGTTTTTCTCTGTAACACTTTCTATATCTCTAGGGCACAAATAATTTTAATTTAAATTTCATCTGTGGATTTCATATGTGGTGCCAGGCATTGAACTGGGATCTGCTGTTCAGGTGTAACCCTATACTGTCTTGCATCTGGTTCTTGGAAGGATGGATTTTTAATTTTTCCTGTTTTCTCCTGATTCCCCATATTAACATGACTTACTGTTTCCTCCAGAGGTCGAAAATTGAAATCCACAGAAACAATGCGAAATTTCACTGAAATAGAAGAGATTTACCCATGAAATCTTCCATTGGAAGTTCAGGACTGTAATGCAGATGACAAGCCAGAATTTCTGGAACTGAATGTATGAAGTAATAAAGGGTTATATTTCCACTCCCAAAGTTGTTATTGTTTATTTGGTTCCTCATACCTGTTTGTCCTGGTTTATAAATGGGTTTGTCTGTCTGGACAAAGTCCAGGCTCTCTGCTTTTGTTATCTTCATTGCCTTCTTCTCAATAAAGTTCTGGGTTCGACCTCTCACATGCACAGATATTAATGCCGAGGTAATTGCCATGTCTGGAATCTGTAAAATGGAATCAAGCTGCAGAATCTGCCCATATTCATTTCTGAGTCCTTTTAAAATGTGATAATTTCTTTTCTTTTTGGGAGTGGGGAAGAGCACAGTTGTCAGTGCTCAGAGTTTATTCCTGGCTCTGCGCTCAGGAATTACTCCTGGCACTCAGGAAACCACATGGGCTGCCAGGGATTGAACGCTTGGGCGTGTGCAAGGCGAATGAATGCCCTTCCCGCTGTGCTATCACTCCAGCTCCCATTTCTGTGATGAAGTCCCTGAGAATAAATGAGGAAGAAGGATCCTTATCGTATATATTTTCACACAGTATAAGAGGATAATAATTTATTGATTTAATGAAAGATAAAATGCCATTGCAATAAATTATTTACTTCAATCACATCAGTGAAGGAAGTAACAGGTCCACAGTTTCACACAATGTGGTGGTGGTAGCATTATTATTAACTTTTGAATAATTATATATTCATAATGGTAATTTTACTGAAATAATTACTAGATATTGTTTTCCAATGTCCAACATCACCGTGTTCTATTATAATTGGTAGTAAGCCACATACTAAATATTTAATATCTTAGATAATAAAAAATGTAAGGACAGCATATTAACCATCAACTACTTGTTGTATCTTAGACACATCACTTCAATGTATGAATCCCAGTGTTTATATCTGTCAAACTTTACTTTCCTCAGAAGTTTAAGAGCAAATGGAATAGTTCTTATTACTATTGTAACCTTTGACCAATTGCAGAATATTCATTTGTATTATTTTATTTGTATTCACGAAATTTGTTCTATTCATTTGTCTTTACCACTGTTGAGACATCAGAACAAGTAGCACCAATGAATATGCTTTTTCTCTAAGTCCAAGGGAGATACTAACAAGGAAAGGGGTGCAGTAGAAAGAGTTCTTCTTTGTCACCACATCTGTGAGGAGGTTCCCATTCTGTAATCCATACTCCAGAACCACATTCAGTGTCACTGTCTCATTCATGTGATTGAGCATGACACAGGCCTTCTCGGCAACTCCAGTGTAAAGTTGTGAAGGAACCAGCACCAGGTACTGCCTGTGGAGAAGAGAGATCTGGGTGAACTGTGGAGAGGTTCAGAAGACATTCATGGCAGCCATCTGTTGGATATTCTTCATGACTGTCTCAGTCATAGGATTGGATCCTACACTTTAGCAGGACTGCGGAGCTCATACCACAAAGGTCAATCCCAAAGACCTTAGAGGGCCTGAGAGAATCAGTAAGTCCTAGGGCATGTATTGCATGCAGGAGACCTGGATCTATGACCAGCCTAACACGGTCTCCTGAGCACCCCAGGTGGTGAGCCCTCAGCCTTGAGCTGAGAATAGACCTTGAGTCTCACTTGATGTGGCCGCAAAACAAAGCAAGCCAAAAAACAGCTCAGAAAGTCAGAAGATGCTAACAAGATAGCATTTATATGCTTCTCTTGTGCTAAGGAAATTTTCACCCTCTCTCTCTCTCTCTTTATTTTTCTAGTGGAGCATACCAAGCAGTGCTTTGAGGATGCCAGGGGCCAATCCCAGTTATTCCTTGAAAAATTGGTCTATTATTCAATGCTCATGTTCAAGCATGCAGTGGTGCCTTTGGTCCTGTGATGCTGGGGACTATCAGGGCCAGGCTGGTGGTGCTCAAGGGACTTGTGGTGCCAGGAAGGCAACCTGGTTTAATTCATGCAAGACATGTGCCTTAGCTACTGGACTATAGCTTCAGCTGCTCATAATATTTTAATCTGCTCATGAAATAGAGATAAGCAAAGAGTTCATTACTTTTTAGACAGAAATAATTTTCTAATTTAAAAATGTTGAAGAATATGTGATTATCTTTAATAAAACATTATTAAATATTAATAAAACATTTTTAAAAACCTTCTGGAATCGGTAACAACATGTGTGGACCATGAGAGCATTAAGAGAAATAAGTCAGAGAAAAAATTTACTATAGCATAGTTCCACCTAAAAATAAAATTAAAAAAACTGAAACGTTGAGCTCATAGAAATAGAGTAGAAAATTGATTGCCAAGAACTGACCAAGAGAAATAGGGAGAGTTTAAAATAAAAAGTAAAAAAAAAATAGTTATGTCTTGTATAAATTCATGTATAACTGAAACTTGCTCAGAGGAGAATTAAAGGCTCTCTCACACACAAAACATGAATTATTTCACAATGTATCAAATAATTGCCTTACACACTCTACACACTTTAAATATATACTTTTGTTTGTCTGGAGGTCACACTCAACTCTGCTCAGAGCTTATTCTAGCTCTGCATGCAGGGCTCATTCCTGCTGATTAAACTTGGGTTGGTTGCAGCCCAGATCCTCCAGAATCCAACCGCACAACCATGCTCAAGGCCACTCTCCACAGGCTCAGATGAGCCTCACCTATACAGGAACTTGCAGAAAAAAACAGATATGAGGGACCCGTGACTGAGAACTCCAAGCTCGCTCAGAATGGGTTCGGGCCTCCATCCCACAGCTCCCCAGTTTTCCAGTAGCTTGGCAGTCACACCCACAAATTGCCTCCAGGTGTCATATCACACACACTATCCACACACTATCCTCCCGTTGTTCATCAATTTGCTCAAACGGGTTCAGTAACGTCTCCATTTTTGAGACTTGTTGTTACTGTGTTTAGCATATTGAATGCATCACGGGGAGCTTGCCAGGCTTTGCCGTGCAAGCGAGATTACTCTTGGTAGCTTGTCAGGCTCTCCAAGAAGGGCGGAGGAATCGAACCCAGCTCGGACGGGCTGGCTGCATGCAAGGCAAACGCCCTACCGCTGTGCTATCACTCCTCTATCGCTCCTCTACCAGTGTCATATAATCTCATCAATGGCCAAGATCCAGAGACTCTGAAATAAAGCTTCTGGAAGAGAGTGACACAGAATGTCCTGGAGCACGTGGCCACATCTATGGTCAATGCAACTCTAGCCCACTGAAGTACCAAAAGTAGTACACATTTTTGTTTGGGTTTAACATATGTTTGTAATCTCTTATACAAGGACTTAAATGGCTCCAGGATGAAATACAGAAATATTCATACATTTTCCTCTCATGGTGATGGGAAGGTGCATGATGGTGGGATTGGTGTTTGAATATTAAATGCAATGAACTATTGTGAACAGCATTATAAAAGTAAAACTAAATTTAAAAAAATCTTGGGTTGGTAATATGTAAGGCAAGTGCCTTGCCCGTTGTACTGTGTCTCTGACCCCCTATACCTTAAAAGTTTTATAAATTTAGTTGCCAATGATATGTCAAGAATTTATTTAAAAAGTACAGTTTTTGAAAGGCCATACCTAGCAGTGTTCAGGGCCTACTCATGTCTCAGCTCTTGGAGAATCATGTGCTATGGCAATAGAGCCTGAACAATCAACATGCGAAGTAGGCTCTCCATTTCATTATTGCTCTGGCTATGAAAAATACATTTAAATCAACAACTGTGATGAATCAATTAATCACTGATGAAAACAGTAAGAATTTCTCTGCATATGGTCTTGGATTTCTTGTGGATGCTATCAGGAATGTATTTGTTTCACGAAATTCTGAAGAGAAAATAGTTAATACATAGGATCTGAACTGCTTTGCAGGATTCTTGCTAAAGCAATCTCAGCTCCCTTATTGCTTTCATTATCTGCTGAGTCATGCTAGGCTAGTGACCAAACACAATAGAAACGCACCAGAAGTAAATAACTCTCTGTCACTGTCACATCATTTTCAGGCACTGAACTACCCTGTATTGTGTGATGCTCTGTTTGTCTATGCCCTTTGCTCTTTCTTCCCCAGACACCTCACAGTGGCAGAAACAGAACGCTCCAGCCCTTGAAGCTGTCTCCTGGATTCCTTCTTTATGTCAGGACCTTTGTCAAGCTCTGAGTATTCTCCCAGAGTCCTGCAAAGTTTTGCTTTCTGGTATTTGTGCCCTAATTCATTCACTGCACATCATTTCATTCTTTCTCTATTCTGTAAGGCATTGAGAGTAGTTTCTACAATGTGTTCATCTGTATGTTCCCAAGACCTAAAGGAATACTTTTTAAAGGCTTACTAACAGATTGTGTGAGTGGACAAACCAACCCTGACTTGTCTGTAGGTCTGTAGATGGTGCACCTATTTTGACTATCCCTGAGTTAGAGAAAACAGACAGTTACTTCAGTGGTCAAGACACTATTTTTTAAAGACATTTTTATTTGGGGGGGCTGGGGATCAAATCTAGTGTCTTTTACTCACAGGCAAAACATACTTCCTACCACTGAACTACTCCTCCAGCCCTATATTTGTCCTGGGTCAATGTTGTGGAATTCTGTTTCCCCACATCAATTAGTGTTTCATCAACATTAGTGCCCTATGTCTCTGAATCTTCTAGAATTGAAGTCCATCTCTTCCACATGATAACAACTAACTGGTTTTTCCAGACACTGTTGACAACAGATCATTTCATAGAGAATCGTGAAGGAAAAGAAATCATAAAGAAAGAGACATATTTCAAAGCAGCTAACACGATGGGGGTAAGGAAGACAACAGACTTCCCTGCATCTGTTACTTACGGGTCTGGAGTAGTTGAAGCATCTCTGGAAAGGAGCAGAAAGAGTAGAATCAAGAGGGGTTTCTGCCGCTGGTTTTTCCTCATGACTAGAAAGGAATTGGAATTAATGATCTTCTGAGACTTTCATTCTTTGAACTCCTGCTTTTATTTCAGAGTCACTGTTGTTTATTTTATCTGGCTGGCAGTTCCAGTAAGCCGTGACCATTTATTTTTGTAACATATTAACTACTTCCCATTCAAAAACGTCAATACCAGATAGTTTCCATGAATATCAATCTTCTTTCATCTATTGTTTTTTTTTGTTTGTTTGTTTCTTTCTTTGGAATCACACTCTGTGGTGCTCATAGCTTACTCCTCTGGTTCTATATTTAGGAACACTTGTGGTAGGGCATGGCAAACTCTACGTGATGTTAGGGATCAATTTCCAGTGGGCCATGTGCCAGGTAAGTTTCTTATCTACTGTGACATTACTCTGACTCTATTTTCTAATTGGTATGTCGTGCTTTGAAGCTTGTTAACTAGCTATTAATCTACACAGGAAGAAGAAAAAAAATTCATGACAATAAAAATCAACACTTTTTATTAAAGAAGAACTAGTGGGAGAAATATCCTAAATCTCTCATTGGAAGTCCCCGAAGCATGATTTTATACCTTTCATCAGTGAAAGAAAAAAATGAAACATCAAAGAACTATAAGTAAAATGTATTTAAAGACAATATCTATATTGGCTTAACTTAGGGTTTTTTTTTATAGTTTTTTTTATGTTTGTTCATTTATAAAGAAAATCGTATCATTTTTGATAAAGTAACTCACATCTAACCTAATTAATTGTTTCTTTGTTCATTTAAAATCTAGAACATAAAGTCATTTGATTTTAAAAGAAGTCATCTTTATTCAATGAATATTTTTATTCAAGTTTACCTTGGTCTATACAAAACTATTTTTTTTTCAATAGTGATTTGTCATTCCATATGTTTTTCAAAATAGACTGGGATGTTGGGATCTATTTTATGGAATTCTGAAAATAAAAAAAGTACACAAAGGGGCCATAGAGATAATTAAGTGAATAGAGCACTTGCCTTGCATGTGGCAAATGGGCTCCATTCTTGACACCTTAGCACTGCCAAAAGTGATCCCTGGGCGCAGAGTCAGGAGTAATCCTGAGCACCACCGGCTGTGACCCCAAAACATAAAAGCAAAACAGTCACCACACACAAAAAAGAGCACCATTAGCATGGCCCCCAAACAAAAGTAAAACAAAAAAGAAATACCTTCAATTCTCCATACTGTAACTAGGTACCCACAAAAAGAGAGGTGTGTATGTTTTGTGTAGAAAACTGGCATAATGATAAGATAGGAGGAGAAATAAACATTTCTTTTTTTTTAATGTAGAAATCACTTGATCACTTGATCACTTGACTTCCCGTTAATCTTCAATTTGCTTGAACAGGCGCCAGTAACGTCTCCATTTGTCCCTGTCGCATGCTAGTGTAGCCCAATGGCGTCTGTTTGCTCTAGGAACATGAAGAGCCTCAAATCGATTGTTCATGATCTTGATGAATAAGTCTGACCATCTGGTAGGTGGGTGGCCACGTGGTCTTTTGACATCCCATGGAATCCCAGTCGGTAACAGCTCTAGTCCAGCAGTCGTCATTAAATCTCATTACATGACCAGCCCATCTGATTTTAGACACCTTGGCAAATGAGACAGCGTCCCTGATTCTTGAGTCGATGGATGTCGGAGCTCTGGACTCTTTCTTTCATTTGAGTGAAACGTGATATTCCAAGGATACCTCTTTCAATTCCTCTTTGGGAGACCTGAATAGCGTTCTCATCCTGTTTGCGTAGGGCCCAGGTCTCTGAGGCATATGTTAATGCAGAAAGAACAGTGGAATCAAAGAGATGTGCCCAGAGCCGGAGGTTCTTCGTCCTCTTAGCTATTTCTTCGATGTTCTTGAAGGCATTCCAAGCCGCTCTCTTCCTCCTGCGCAGCTTGGGTGCCAGGTTATTTGTCATGTTGACTTCTCGACCTAGGTACACATAGCTGTTGCATTTGGAGATGGTCGTTCCGTTGAGAGCGAATGGGGCATCAGGAACGAGGCTGTTTCTCATAAACATTGTCTTCGTAAGATTCAGCTGTAGTCCTACCTTTCCACACTCACGGTCAAAGTCGGCCAGCATTTGTGCCGCTTGGCTAATGTTTGGTGTTATTAAAACAATGTCATCAGCAAAGCGGAGGTGGTATAGTTGCCGACCATCTATCTTCACTCCCATTCCTTCCCATTCCAGTTGTTGCATGATGTTCTCGAGGGTGGCACTGAAGAGTTTCGGTGAAATGGTATCACCCTGCTGAACCCCTCTCTTGATATCAATGATTACTTCTTTGTAGAATGGTGAGATCCTGGTAGTGAATCCGTAATACAGCTCACAGAGGATCTTGATGTATTGAGCTTGAATGCCCTGATTGGCTAGGGCTTCAATGACGGCTTCCGTCTCAACAGAATCAAAGGCCTTTTTTAAATCAATGAACGTTAGACAGAGAGGCATCTTGAACTCCCGAGAAACCTCAATGAACTTGGTTATCATGTGGATATGGTTGATGGTGCTGAATCCTTTGCAGAACCTAGCTTGCTCATATGGTTGTTCTTCATCTAGTGTTCTGCCAATCCTATTCAGGATGACTGGAGTGAACAACTTGTAGATGACAGACAATAGGCAGATGGGGCGATAGTTGCCAATGTCATGGATGTCTCCCTTCTTGAACAGTAGTACAGTCCTGCTGGTTTTCCATTGGGACGGAACCTTGCATTCACACAGGTAGCATGTGAAGAGCCAAGCCAGTGTATTGATGAATATTGACGGCAGGTTCTTCAGGTGTTCAGGTCTGACCTTGTCTGGGCCGGGTGCTGTTCATTTCTTTACTGATGAAATGGCGTGTTGGATTTCGGAAGCGAGAACATTTGGAATGACATATCCATCCTGTGGAATTTGGTATGTCAGCAAGTGGACATGGGTATCGAAGAGATTTGAGTAGAAGTCATGGATAATCTTCTCCATTGCTGTTCTGGAAGACGAGATAAATTCATCAGGATGTTGGAGGGTAGTCATTTTGGTCTTGTAGTTGGCGAAGGACAGGCGGGCGTAACGAATACTTTTCCCGGCTTCTGCCGCATCTACCAGTACTTCTGCTCTTCTCTCTTTGAGGTCTTCCTTGATCGCATCTCTGCACTGCTTTGCGAGCTCAGACGTTTGCTTGCGGTTGCCTGAGGCATGCGCCAAACCACGTTGGCGAATAAGCTCAAGAGTTTTCGAAGACAGACTTTTTTTGTGGCTATCTCTCTCTTGGTGTTCCTCGCACAATCATGGAGGTGCTGAACCAGTCGATCGTATTCCTCATCAATGTTGTCAACAATGGCATCTTCCCATGTTGCCGCAATAGTGCCAAAGAGCTCACAGTTGATGGTCGTTCTGGGAGTTCTCTTTTTAAACTTTGCAGTCCTTTCTCTCCGCTCTGTGAAGTAGAATTTTGCACGAAGGAGACGGTGGTCTGATCCTGTTCGGAATTTTGGGACAACAGCGACATCGGTCAGGCAAAACCGTCGATTGAATATGATGTGGTCTATTTCGTTGTGGAACCGTCCACCGGGAGACTCCCATCTCCAACGTTTAGATTCGGCCTTCTGGAACTGTGAGTTACCATGAATGGTCTCGGTCTACATGATGAACTCAGACAGTCTCTCACCCTGTTGGCTCCATTCTAGGTCATGGGTTCCGATGTGAAGTTCTTCAGCTGATCTTCTTGGTACTATCTTGGCATTAAAATCACCCACATTGATCTTGTAGAAGGTATGGTCTTCTTTACAAAACTTCTCCAGCTCCATGTAGAACTTCTCAATTTCTCCTTCATCATAATTAGATGTTGGTGTGTAGACAACGAAGATAGAAACTGCCGGCAGTAAGCCACATCTATTCAAATGTAAACGTCCGATTCGGGTTGTTAGGCATTCGAATGAAACAATGCTTATGGCCAAGTTTGTGTTGACAAGGACATGGATGCCTCTGACACCTCTTTTATCTCATGTTCCGAGGAACAATTCTTCTCCAGTGTTGAAAACGGCATGATGAGATTGGTGCCTTCTTGTCTCTGTCAGACCAATCATGTCATACTTGATCTTTTGCGCTTGTATCATCAGGTCCTCAATGGATGCATCTGATGCTAGCATACGTGCATTGAAAGTACAGACGATCATTTTTTCTTCCTTCCTTGTGGCAGTCTAGTTCGGCCTTGAGATTTTATCGGCCTCTCCTTTCTCATTCTTCTCAATGCTGCCATGTTGGTGAAGCCTTCAGGGTCAGGTGAATGAGACCCATTGTAATTACTGGTTTTGGCATATCGAATACACAACGGATAGCTTGCCAGGCTCTGCCGTGCGGGCGGAATTCTCTCGGTAGTTTGCCAGGCTTTCTGAGAGGGATAGAGGCTTTTGGGGCGACTTCTAATCGCCCTCATAGGTGTTACCATATTTGAACCCTATCAAATATGGTACGGATGGGTATTTAGTGTCTTATAATGTGTTGCGCTACCAACACTACCTCCACTACCCAGCCGCCACCACACTCCAGTGTAGAAGTACTGCTATTTTTTCAGCCACTGATTAGTTGATTGAATTGGGCATGAACTCCACCTTACTTTTTTTTTCATAGTTTTATTTATTAAGCCCAATATACCCCCCTCCCACTCCACCCAATGCCTGTGAGGCAGATGATTTCTACTTAACTCTTCTCTACATTGATTACATTCATCATTTCGACAAAAGATGCGCCATTATTGTTTAGATTCCCCCCCCCCAACAATCAGAATTGCTGAAAAGTCATTGTGAAACACTTTGTTTTCCATAGCTGGTTATGAGAACCATATAATGATTTTGTATTTCTGCAAAGAGCCAGGTAATTACGAGATTGGTTTCTGTGTGTATGGTGTTCTGGCTGTGCCGGAGAGCTTCTCGTTGGGGGCAACTCAGGACCTCGGTAGGGCGTGAAGGTTGAGCCGGTAATGCCCCTCCTTCCCCTGAGACTGCAGTTGCCCCGTCACCGTCGACTCA